AGAAGGGCTGGGGAGCAAATGAAGGGACTTAAATGTTACCTCTAAGAGCCAGATGCATTACCTACATTCTCTCTTCCAGTCCTCACAGCCTTTCTGCAGGGCAGGGACAGTTGCTGCCCATTTTACAGATGAGGGGGTTGAGGTGGGGAGGCATAAGTCACGGCCACATGTCTAGTAAAGGAAGGTGGGGGATGAGGTCTGTCTGGTCCCAAACCTGGTGCTTTTCCTAACAAGTCCTGCTGAGGGCCAGTACTGTCACTCCAAAGGGAAGCACCTACCCGTTGGCTCACGGTCTAAATGAGATGTATCCAGCTTATGTAAAACACGTGGCTGACCTGGTTAAGCAGCATGACTGCATCAAGGCTGCACTGGAAGGGGCTGGACGGGGGAGGGCCTGAGGCCAGACCAGACCCACCATCAGATGCCCAGGCAGCCAACCGTGCTGGGTGATGGTGGGTGGGCATGGCCGGCCACTCTGGCTGCCGAGAACATTTCCCCTCCCCCAGCCTGTGCACTGAGTGAGGGGCTGTTCAGACGTCGGTGTGCAGAATCAGGGTTTGCTGAGTTGAAAGCAGCCAAAGAGATCAAGAGATGAAGAGGCGGTGACATAGGGCAGCAGAGACAAATGGCCACACAAGAAAGCAGAGCCTGTGCCAAACAGGAGGAAAGGGCCAGGGAGGACGGAAGCTGGGGGGACAGTGACAGCACCCCAGGTTACAAGCCAGGAGATGGTGAGGGGCTCTCACGAGAAATGGCGTGGGGGAGCAGAGCTGCTTAGTGCTGCAGCCTGAGGTTGTGTGAGCAATCCAAGGTGGCACCTGGGGCCTTGGGCAAGAGGACAGGTGGGGATGCAGAGCAGAAGGCCACCAGGTAGGTGGGCGAGGGTGAAGAGGAATGGCAGTTTGCAGGCTCCCGCAGACCGGGAGGAAGAAGACCAGGCCCCAGAGGGCAGGGAGGCAGGAGGTTGCCCCGAGAGCTGTGTCCACCATGCCCACCACGTGTGTGGTCTCCTTGGTCCTTGTCCTGGAGGAGCTGGTGGCTGCTCAATCTCTTGGTAACCTGTGTCCGGCCACTCAGCATTAGAAAGATCAGAGAGAATTAGATGTCAAGCCCTGCATACAGCTCAGCCACCCAATGTCCAGCTGTCCCTCTGAATCCATTTGTGAGATGCCTCCACTGTTTACTCACTCTCATTCTGAGCCCATCAGTATCTGAGCTGCTCTGAAACACAGCTTCAAAGAACAAATTTGGGAAGAATCTTTGAGGCAGGAAGATTGCATCTGACCAAAGCAGAGAGCTGGCCACACCCAGCAGCGGGCAAACAGCCAGAAAGATCCTCAAGCAGATTTCTCCAGGGAGCCAGCTGAGGTGCCAGACTACAGGCTGCCACACCCCTGCCACGCTGACTCAGGCATCCTGAGGAGGCAGGGACACGCCCAGTTGGGAGAACGCTGACGTCCTTTCTAGGCTGGGTCTGCCCATTAAGAACAAACACAGACTCTGCATTCGCTGCAAAATGTCTGAACAAGCTGCTCTTACCGGGGAGGGGAGGGCTGGGGAAGCTAGTTCGGGCAAGAAGAAACAGCTGCTGTCTCCACACCCACAGTGCTTCCCTCTGAGGACGTCAGAGCCCCACGCGGGCTGCTGACTAAAGCTCCCGCTGCTGCTCCCAGGGAGGCTGCTGTGGGTGGAGGTGGGGTGGCCGGGGAGCTTAGGGGCCGACAGTAGATACGGCCAGCCAGACCCTGCATGAAGAGGACCCCAGACTGCGGGCCCAGTGCTCACACAGCTTCCGGGACACTGCTCCCTACCTTCACAAGGGAAGCTTACTTCCCCAAAGCCAAACAAACCCAAAACCATGGCAAGGAGAGGCAAGGGACCTGGGAGCCCTGACTCTGTGTTCGGCCTCCCGAGACCTCTCCGGGGAAGCTGGCTTTGCAGCAGTCTCGGGAGTCCTGTGTCTGGGAGCTGCCCTTAGGAGACAGCTTTCCTGACCACACGCTGAGGGCTGATTATGAATGGCACCTGGGTGGCCTCGCGTCCCAGGAGCAGCCTGGACCTCAGCTTGGACTTGGAGGCTCACAGGGCATGCTTATCCCAGTGAAGGAGAATCCCTGTTATCACAGCCCCTGGGACATCACTGCTGTCATCACAGCAGCCCTGCAGGGCACATGCCTAGAGCAGGCACCTCTTCCCCCAAACCAGAAACAGGCATTGTGTGTAGGATGTGTGCAGGAAAGGCTGCGGCCTGGGGGGTCCTCGCTAGTGCCACAGAAACCCACCTCCCCTCCTGGGGAAAGCTTCTCACCACAGATGCTACACTGGGGAGTCTGAGGATTTGGGACACTCAGCAGGACCCTAAGCCCTTCCCAGGGCCACACACTCAGTTAAGGGGGAGGTGCATTAGGTGAGGGTGTCAGGGTAAGGACATCCCAGGCCAGGTATCCTTGTGCACTAGGCTCTGGGCAGATCTTCCTGCTTGCTGCTGCCCCAGGCACAGAGAAGCCACCAGGCCCCTTTCTAGGCACTACCGGTGGTAGCAGTAGATCCAACCTGGTCTCTTCTCAGACAGGGACAAAGGGAGGTGCCCCAGGCTCCTCTTCCCCCTCCTAGCCTCACACCAGCTGGTTCCGGGCAAACCATGCAGGTACCTTAGAGCTAAGATGACCAGAGGGCAGTGAGAAGCCACCTCCCTGGGGGTGAAACTCAGGCATCATCTAGAACCCTGCAGAAGTTCCCAGCAGAATGAGGGACCAGAAGCCTGATGCCCAGTGATACTTGCGTCCTCTGCCCGGTCTCCATGCACTTACCGGAAGGAGCGGACTGGCTTTTACCAGGCCCGCTCTGATGTGGAGAGGCTGCAGGTGAGGGAGGGCAGTGGCATCACACGAAGACGGCATGGCAGCTCAGTCACAGCGTGGACATGCGTGTGCATACACACGGGAAGGGGAGGATGGGGGTGGCCTTCCTGTGGTATGAGCTGTCCAGGTGGGGCAAGGGCGCCTGGGCCACTCCCATCCGTCCCCCCAGCAGGAAGCAACATGCACTATAAGAGGTTTACAAGAAGCGACATGGCGTGGATCTACCCTATGGGACACCGACACCAACTGTACACGCAGGACAGGCAGCAGAGCCACCGCACCCCGGGCCTGTCCCAGAGAGAAGGCACCGCAGCCAGCTGAGCCTGCTGGGACGAGCCAGGGTCCTGTAAAGGGGCAGTATGGGGCAGGCTGGAGGGGTGGAGCCTTCCCAAGAGAGGTGGGCTTTCCCAGACCGAATGGCTTCACCCTCTTTCTCAAGTCAAAGGCGAATGAGTGTTAGGTTCTCCCTCTGTGTTTCGCGGATCCTCATGAACACTCAGACTTGGAAAGGAGAAGCAGGGGAAATCTGTGTCCAGGAGGCCTTGGGCCTGGTGTTCATTTGATGCGCCATCTGGTTTCTTTCTGGTGCAGGGCACAGGCCAGTTTTCCCATCTGGCGGAGTGAGTGTCTGGCTCTCTGGGAAGTCTCAGATGTGGGCTCACTCCTCCCCAGACACACTCAGGTCCAAGCAGGTTTATTCCCCTCCGCCCTGACATTCAGCGGCTCTGATGCACACGTAATCACATTTGCACGAACGGACACAACACATGGTAAGTTGCTCAGGTGGCCGCGAAGGAGCCCACACACCAGGGACACCATGGCATGCAGACACACAGGGATCCAGGGCAGAAGCGCAGGTGGGGTCAGGAGGCGGGGACAGCCCCAGCTTGTGCCAGCAGTCCTTGTCAGCCCAGACTTCTCTGCCTCTGGCTGGGGCTGGCGCAGGGAAAAAGAAGCTGGGATGCAGTCTACCATGGACGGACAGGGATGATGGGAGCTTTGAGGGAACTTCTGGGAGAGGCCCACCAGTGCCCTCTGCTGGGCATGATGTGCTGGTGCAGCTTGAAGGGGGTGGCAGAGGGAGGGGTGTGTGTGTGACTCAGAGGGAGGGGAAGGCTAACATCTGAGCCTAACCGAGGCAGGGCTTGCTGTAGGTGCATTTTCTGGGCTGGTTTGTGTACCAGAAAGTTCCGCTGAGAACATTGATCTTTCTAAATTCCCACTCAGAGGTCAGGCACGCCCACCGGGGCACCTGGGGAGAGGGGTTATGTGAAGGATCTGTTCCCAGAGGCCCAGGGCCCCATGCACAGGGTCCATGCAGTGGGGAAGCCATGCAAGCTGCATGCTGACTCTTGGTCTCATCTCAGTCACTCCCCGGAGCATGGCCCTATCCGGGCCCACAGAAGGCCATTGGGGCCCTAAGGGAGTTTCAGGCAAGGTCCTGAAGCCATATGCCCAGGCCCTCCTCCACCTCCAGGCCTCTGGCTCACTCTCCTTTTCTACAAGTTGCGGGGCTGCCCCTGCTGCAGAAAGTCCTGGGGTTTCCTCTCACTCCCACAGGACCCAAGTGTGTTCTGGCTGCAGAACCAGCTCCAGGGCCAAAGCGACCCACAGCCAGGACAGTAGAAAGGGAGAGGGCTCTGCATAGGAGGAGACTACTCTGTCAGAAAGGGGGTGCTTGGGGCGATGCCGGGGGACGGGGCTGTGTTGGCTTGTGTCTACGTGTGACGGTGCCTGCTCACGTGCCTCTGTGCGTGGATGGAGGGGGCTGTGTCAAGGATGGACTTGGACGGGAAAGAGGACAGTGTACAAAAATGAGCCTGTCTGCCTGGAGAGCCTCCCCTGACATAGATGGCAGTGTGTTTATACAATAAAATTTATTAGACTAGATAAAACCAAACTAGTAGAGTCATGTCAGTGAGCTGGCATGTCAGTTTCTGCTGGATGGAAAGGAGGAGGGGAATTATTCTAAGAATTAAAAAGACCTAAGTGAAAAAGTAGACTGATTTGAAGGTGGCTCCGGGAGGGACTCGGCTGGGGCCCTGTCCTTGCCTTCTGCCCCGCCTCAGCCTAGTAGGGATGAGAGGGCTCGGGCAGCAGCGACTCCATAGAACCAGACCAACCCGTCAGGAAACTGACCGGGGATGTTCTCTCGGTGGTGGTTGCACGGTAGGCCTCCCCTGCTGTCTCGCCTTCCTCCTCTTGAGGCCTGAGGAAGATACAGCCTCTCTTTAGCATTAGGCGGCTCCCTCCAAGGCCTGGCTTCCGCACGGGGAGTGTGCACAACAGCGCCTCCCATGTGAGGCAGCTGCAATCAAGGGCTCCCCAGGACAGAATCAGCGCTGCACCAAGGAATCGGGGTTAAAGGCAGTCACTGCTGGTCACCCTTTCCTCCCCCTGGGGCTGCACCATCCTCTGGCTTCCACCCCTGCTTTGACCTCCAGGTGCACTGACGAGGGGTCCAGCGGTGAGATATCAGATGTCTCATTCAGACCACCAGTTTCAGATCGAAAGCTATGTCCTCTTTTCCACTCATCCCCCTTCACTGTGAGCTCTGTGTCCTACCACACAGCAGCCACTCACCCCGGCTCCTCCGTGGGTCTCTCTGGGGACTGGTATTGTTCTTTAAGCTCAAGCTGATGGAGGAAAAGGCCAAAGGGTCAGGGCAGCCACAGCAGGGAGCTGTGCCCTCAAATGACCTCTCCCTAAGCACAAACCAGCCCACACTGGGGTTTGTCCCCCCAGCCCCCCTTCTGGCTTTGGCATTCAAAGGTCAGTACTTTCTCCACACTCCCACCCCAGCCTAGGTACCTCAGAGCAGCCTAGAGTTCTCCGCCTGGCACCCCGCTGCCCTCTCAAACCCCTGCCACCAGCTCACCGTGGTGGGTTTCTCCAGGGCAGCGAAGCGCTCTGCCCAGGTGGCTGTGGATTTCTCGAAAGCCTCATGCCTCCTGATCAGCTTCTCCACGCTGTCCACTGTGTGCCCGTAGTCCCTGCTGGCCAGGTAGGGCTCCTGGGCGATCAGCCACGCTTCAGCCACAGAGGCATCCCTCGAGAACTGGCACACCTCCAGCACTGCGGCAGGAACAAGCCACAGGGCCAGTGGCAAGGCAGGGCCATTAGCGCTCAATGGCCTGAGGTACCCGGGGCCAGCGACCAGGCAGGAGGCCCACACAGGTGACATCTGCTCAGCGGGTGACCTCCTGTCTAAGGCTACTCCACCGCACCCTGTGATCCAACCCTATCTCCATCAGCGGTCTATTCCTAAAACATTCACTGGAACAAACTGTTCTGAAAAAAAATGCAGTGCTGGGATTCCAGGTGTGTTCCCACGCCTGGCTAAGAGAGAGGAGAGCGAGGTTTCCCTCACTGCCCTGGGCCTCCAGATGCTCAAGGGTGGAGCTTGCATCACACTCTGCAGAGCCAGTGTCCAGGAGGCACCAAAACCTCGCCCTGACCCCTTCCTAGTCACAGCATGAAGGGACCGTCTGGGCACAGCGCTTGGTGGGGCAGCTTCCGGAGCATGCCTGAGACCTCAGCCCAGAGCTGTGCAGAGGCGTGTCCCCCCCACCCTGGGGTCTTCTCCAGGCAGCCCCGCCCTCTTGCCCTCTCTGGGGGTGTGGGCTCCACCTCCCCAGGCTCCTGGGCCCCGAACTGCACTCACACATGCGGAGCCGGTCATTGCGGTCCTCCCACTTCTTGTCCATCTCTAGTCGCTTGGCCATCATCTGCTGCAGTTTCTCCCGGACCTGCAGGAAGGGAGGACAGCAGCTCAGGCCTTGCTAACCCTCCCCTCGGTCTGAGGCAGCGCACAGATCGCTGTGAAGAAGGGCAGGCTTGATCGCAGTCTTGGCCTCAAGTCTTGACCCTGCTTCTCTCCAGCTGTGCAGCTTTGGGCAAGTCCCTTACCTCTCTGTGACACCTATGTGTGGCTCACCTATGAAATGGGGTCACCAACTTCAAAGCAAGCACTCATGTGGGTGTCGGGGGTAGGTACGTATCTGCTCTCTAGTGAGGTAGGGATGGGCTTGTGCGGCTCTGATTCCTGGCTTGTGGGCAGCCCCGATGCTCCGTAGGTGAAAGATGAGCCCCTCAGAAGTTGCCAGGCAGCAAGAGCGAGGACAAGGACATGCAGGGGCTCACCTCATCCGAGGCCTGGTGCTGCCGCTGCAGCAGCGACTCCCCGAGCTCCAGGCAGGTGTTGAAGTTCTTGGCCCGGGTGTTGATCTCTGCCTTGATGCCCTGGTGATACTTCAAGAGCAGTTCCACCGATGAGACATCCCTGTGGGCAGGAGGACAAAGGCAGAGAATTAGGGAGTCACTGTGGCAGAGGGGACCCACCTGTCCTCAGGAGTCTGGCCCCACTGTCCCCTCTCTCTGGCCAGCCCGGGAGTTGTCTGCCTGCCCAGCCCCAGCAGGACCACTGATGACTTTGTGTCTTCCACCGGTCACTGGCCAAGCTGTGGGCAGGGGGTACAGGCATTCCAGAAGAAACCAGGTGTGATGGTTAAGCTAAATTGTCAACTTGATTGGCTTGGGAGCCACCTAGAGGATTAGTAAAAGCACACTTCTGGGAGTGTCAGAGGTGTGACCTTGGGGCCTATATCTGATCCCTGGCCACCATGAACTATGGGCTTTCTTCTGCCATGCCCTTCCGCCATGATGTTCCTGCCTTAGGGGCCAGTCAACCATGGACTGAAGTCCTTGAAACCATAAGCCATATTAAACTTCTTGAAGTTGTGGTTGGGTATTTTGTACCAGTGACAGGAAAGCTGACTAATACACCTGGGAATATTTTTCAGCAATAAAAAGGAATAAAATACCGATATATAATAAACACGGAACCCTGAAAGTAGGCTAAATGAAAGGATCCGTTTACATAAGACGATATATGACATGATTCCATTTATACGAAAAGTCCACCATAGGCAATCTAGAGAGACAAAAAGTAGAGCCGGGGCTGCCAGGGGTAAAGGGCACAGTGAGCGACTCTAATGGAGGTAGAATCTGTGGAGAGGGGAGTGAGGAAAATTTAAACTCAGACTGTGGTGATAGTTGTATAAATGGGAATATATAAAATCACTGAATGAGGGCCGGGGATTTAGCTCAGTGGTTTTGCCACCTGCTGCACAAGCGCAAGGACCCGAGTTCAATCCCCGGCACCAAAAAAAGAAAAAAAAAAAAAGAAAAATCACTGAATGATATACTTTAAGTAGGTGAAGTACAGTATGTGACTTATATTTCAATGAAGATGTTCAAGTTAAAAATAAAGCCATTGACAAGGCACCTGAGGGGCAGCAGGACAGAGATGGGTCACCAATAATTGCTGACACCGCCCGGGTGGAGAGCTGAGTCCTGAGAGGCTTTCGCTGCCATGTGCCTGACCCCATCTTTTGCGGACAATCAGCTCTGTCCTGGGTTTCAGGGGGAGCCCCCACGTCCCAGCCCTGGGGGAGAATGACCAGTCTTGGACCTGCCCAGCTGCGGATGTATGACACTTGTTTCATGGACACGGGTTATTACCCTCAGGCATTTGTTTCATTACCAAATTCTCATGGAAGAATCTGGTGACATGTCTTTCTCCACTTACTCTGAAATAGTTGGTCCTCCCAGTTGAAGCTGAGCAACTCCATTTCTTCCAGGACCCAGCTGAGGCCTCGGGTACCCCTCAGGGACTGCCATGCACCCAACAGTCCAGGACTGTCCCCCTGGGAGGAGCCCTGGTGCAGCCCCTGCTCTGCCAGCCTCATGAGGCATGGCTTGGGGCCGTCTTGAGGATGCTCCCTCACCTGGGCTTCTCCTGGGTCTCGATCTGCCGGATGATGCTCTCCATCCAGGAGAGGAGGTCGCGGACCATGCTGAAGAAGCGGAATTTGTCTGCTGTGTCCACTAGCTGTGTCCGGCGCCCGGCACAGGCATCGAGCAGCACCTGCCAGGCAGCAGACACCTCCTGCTCCTTGCTCTGGATGGCATCTGCCTTCTCCCCGGCATATGCCGTCTGCAAGCGTGTGGCCACATCCTGGAACTGCTGTACCTGTATAGTCAGGCAAAACCAGACATTGTTCTGGACAGAGGGCTCCCGGGCCTGGACTGGAAGGGAGGGTCTCTGCCTCCATCCAGCAGGGAGGTCTCCTGTAGAAGTCTCCCTTCTTTGGTGCCTTTGCCTACCCAATGCACCCCTGAACTTCGGTGAGAGTTGGAAGTGGGAGGGGCTCTGTACCCTTTGACTGCCTCAGAAGTAACAGTAAGAGAGTAACTATGAGCCAGCACCGTTCTACATAGTTCACATCTATTAATTCTCTTCATCTTACACAGCAACCCATGAAAGAGGTACTGAGGGTCCCTGCTCTCTGCTCGGAGCTGTTGGTTCTCTAAGAAAGAGAGACCTTCTGGTGCCCTTTCTAGAGTTTTCCCTCTAAGAGCCCCATGGGGCCCTGACACCCTGGGGTGGAGGGAAGGGGTTAGTGACCCCTGAGGGCACCTGAACGCCCAGCAGATGGAGCTCCCGCTCGAAGGCCGTGTGCACACGGTGGAAGGACTCGGCCGTGCTGGCATCTAGCCCCACGTCCTCAGGCAGCTCCCGGTGCTTCTCGTCGATGAGGCCTAGGATCTCGGCACCCGTGTAGAAGTAGCGGTGTAGGTCGTAGGAGGCTGCCAGCAGCTGCATGCGTGTGTCGATGAGCTCCAGCAGGTCCGCCCACATGTCGTTCAGCCCATCCTTCCACTCGGCGATGGTGGCCGCCTCGCTGTGGCCAGCATCGATGAGCCGCTCGATGATGGCATTCACGTTGTCCACCCGCTCCTGCCCGATGGCCCCAGTCTCCCGGGCAAAGTCTCGGAACTTATCTCTGAGCATCTGGAGGTGAGGCACACAGAATTAGGGTCAGCAGAGCTCTGGAGCAGGTGGACATCATTATGCTCTAAGCTGTGCACTTTCCCTCGACCACCACAACTGCCTGGCCTGGACCTCACACCTCCCCCAGGTAGCCTGCACCTGCTGGCCACACCTGGCCCAGTGTGACTGTGTCTCTGACCCATGCAGGGCAGTGCATGGGTCAGGAAGGCTGTCTGTCTGCTGTGTTAATGGGGGGCAAAGAAAATGGGGGCTACGGCTACTTACAGTCACATGGTCAAAGTCCTGGCCCATCTCCTGGTCAGAAGCCACCTTCTCCTTTTCTATGATCCACTGTTCCAGGTCATCAGCCTCCCTCTTCAGCTGGAACAGGTGATACATGTTCTCCAGCTTGCGCCTGCGTTCTTCGGCCATGTCCTTCAGCCCCGCATACTGCTTGTCCACCTGGCCCTGATGTCTGATAATCTGCTCTCTGGAATTCAACCAAGAAATCCCTTAAAGATGGCGACTGGAAACCCACAGCAGGCAGCTCTGAGGAGTGAGCTGAGGCCCTGGGACCCTGGCAGGAGCATGTGGGGGTGTGAAGCCAGTGACCTTTCCCAGGGAAGAGTCGGGAAGTAAAGGGATGAGCCCTGAGGTCATGATGCCGCCAGGCTCTGTGGGACTGTGTCCTGGAGTTCTGTCCTCATGTGGGAGGAGCAGGGCTCCTTCCTCGAAGTCAAGTGCACAAGGGGAACTTCTCCCTCTCTTTCCCAGGAGCCTTGTACGGCAGAGCTCTGAGCAGGGCCCCAGCAGCAGCCCTGCTTAGCTCTTCAGGGAGAGACAGACAGGGGCTCAGTCCTTGGGGCTGCCCGGGGCACATGCTGGGGGTGCTGCTGAGGACCTGCAGCAATGGGTGCCCTAAAGGCAGCTGAAAGCAGGGCCCTGACTCAGGCAGCCTGAAGAGTCTGGCCAGTGGGTTTCCCAAAATCCAGGCAACTCAGTTCAGATAGTATTGCTTTTCTACCTTCACTCCTGCCTCAGGATTTTGCTGAGTCCCTGTGAGGTGCTTCAGGACCTCACAGGTCACAAAAGAAAAGCACACTTAGTCTTCTGTGTTTCTCAGCATATTCTAATTCTTCAAAAGATGGAGCTCTCAGTTCACCAAGAGGGTAGTTTGACTATCCCATTCTCTGATCATTTTGTAAACCCGGCCTTGGGTGGCTCATTCAGGTGAACCTCATTCAGGTTCCTCCCACAAAACCAAGGCATAAGATGGAGCTGGGCCAATCTGAAGGTAGCTTGGGGCCCTGGCCTGATGCCCATGACCTGCAAGTCCCCCCAGAGCACACGCACCCCTCAGGGTGGCCGACAGCCAGCAGGCTCTGGGCCCGCCCAGCCAGCTGCTTGATGTTCCTCCCATACTCCTCCACTGTGCGCTGCAGCCGCAGGTGCCGTTTCAGCAACACAATGGCGCCCTCTTCATCCTAGGAGGAGCAGGTGGTTAGCGCCAGAGCCCGGCAGGGCCATGTTCCCTGCCTGGGCAAGGTCCAGACCAGCTCCTGGAGGTCCGAGGTGGGCAGGACAACCACACACCCTCCCTTCCTACTGCTCCGAGTCCCAGCACTACCCAGACCCTACTTCCCTCTCTCCCCTCCCCCAGGTCTTAGCTGCTATCTGCCTTCCTTCCGGGCCCATCGCCAGCTTCTGTCCCCATGAAAACTTCCTGGGTCATTCCAGCTCTGACAGCCCTGACTTCCTCCTCTCACCCCATCCAGCAGCAACCCCATCGGTACCAAATCTATGGCCAAAGAGTGAACAGCCCTGGGTCGGGGCATGTCTGTGTGCGAGTGGGGACTGTGGCTGTGGAATGTGCACTGTAGGGGCATTGTCAACGGGAGGGGTGTCCACGAAGGGACACTGGGGGGCAGCAGAGATCCTGCGGGTTCACTGCACACCCTCACCCTGTCCTTGTATGCTGGGACTTCAAGGCTGCCCCCGCCTGCCCGCCCCAGCACCCCGGCCCGCAGCCCCCACCCACCCAGCAGACCTGAGGGGCCTCGTCGGAGAAGATGTAGAGCTCCTGCTCACTGATCCAGGCTTCAGCCTCATCCGCATCCAGGTAGTACTGCTGTGCCTCGTGGGCGTCCCGCAGGCGCTGCCCCCGCCCCACTGCTGCCTGCCGCAGCGTGTCCCAGGAGGCCTGCAGGTGTCCCAGGCGTGCCTCGATGTCCTGCAGGTCTGTCTCAGCCGCCACCACCAACTGCTCCCCTCGCTGCAGCACATTGTCCACCCGCGGTGCATGGCCCTGGACCTCATTCTGCAGTGTCTGCAATGAGAAGCAAGGGCTCAGGGCAGGGCCTTCTGACCCGGGAGGCTGGGTCTGCTGCCATGACCCAGGTCTCACCCCTCATCCCCCTCTCTTCCTCCTGCTGGAGCAGATCAGGTGATGAATAGAACCTGCCAGGACCTCTTGGCGGCAGGATGCTAAGCCACCCCTCCTTCTGCCCTCATGAAGCCTGGAGAAGCACTGGACACTGGCACGTGGCAGCAGAGGAGCCTGCTGGCAGCGAGTGGCTGGGCTGGGACCTGAACACAGCCCTCCCTGACTCCATGGCCTGGGCCCTACACTTGTCCCTATTTTTTCTGTGTCAGCAGAGCTTGATCACTTAGGTGCATGTATTGGATGGAAGAAAAACCATTTCTGATGACCATCCAGTATTTTATTTAGCAGCTTTTGCTCAAGATAAAAGAACAGTGACATCTGCCTCTTTTGTAGCATTTTGGGCTTTGTTTTTCTCCACTTCAAATTCCCAAATCTTTTGTGAACTGTGTGAGCCTTTGGTCACCAAAAACGGCCTTTTTCTCCCACTCCGGTGACCAGATCATGTCTTTCTTCAGGAGGCCCTGACACACAGCCAGGATCCGCTCTGGGTCCTCAAGGCCAGGGCTGGCTGCTGCTTACACGTGGGCTTTTGGGCACCTTACACTTCACTTCATTCCTGATGACCATTTCCCCAGAGCCTTAAAGACCACCTGAAAGGCAGCAGCAAGAGCAAGCTGCATGGGCAGAGCAGTGGCCGCCAGCACTTGCAATACATGAGAGGAGCGATGTCCACGAGGCCCTACCTGAAACGTACATCTGCACTTTCCACTGGGGATCCTGACTTGGACAATTTCCCATGGTCTCTGACCGGGTTCACACAGCCCGTGCTACCAGCTCTACTGCCATTTGCTCTCCCCAAGATCCTACGACCTCTGCATGCTGCTCGCAAAGGTATATCTCTTTCCCTTCTGAAGCCTTTTCCAGTCTCCTATGGAGGGTGTTTATCTATGATGTCTTCTCTGTCTTTATTTATCCAACACATATTTTTTAAGGTCTTGCCTATATGCCAGGTGCTGTTCTAGGTGCCAGGGCGAAATGGAAATGAGATGAATAAAAACCCCTGTTCTCATAAAGCTTATTGTCTTTTGTTTTTGTTTTTGTTTTTTGGTACAGGGGATCAAATTCTGGACCTTGTGCTTTTGTGGCATGAGGCGGAACCACTGAGCTAAATCCCCGGCCCTAAAGCTTATTGTTAAGTAGATGAAATCGATGGTAAACATGTAAATAAACAAAGACTATACCTTCCTGCCTGGGTGCTACAAGGAAAATTCAACAGTGGGGTGAAGGATGTCTGCTGAGGTGTGGTGGTGGCTACTTCAGCAAGGGAGCTCAGGAAGGGCCTGAGGAGATGACATTGGACTGAGACATGAATGACAAGAGAGAGGCAACCTCACAAACACCTTGGGTGAGTGCTCCTAGCATACAAGAAGAGCAAGTGCAAAGGCTCCAGAGTGGAAATGAGCCCAGGCTGTCAGAAGCCAGAGAAAGGGGCACAAGGACAGGAAGAGAAGAGCTAATGAGGAAAGGTAAAAGAGGAAAGAGATGTGGGTTAAACCCTAAAATCCATATGGAACCAGAAGAGAGCCAGAATAACAAAAGCAACCCCGGGTAACAAGAGCAAAGTGGGAGGCATTGAAATCCCAGTTTTGAACTTATATCACAAAACCATAGTGATGAAAAACAGCATGATCCTGACACAGAAACAGACATGTGGATCAACAGAACAGGACAGAGGATGCAGAAACACCAGGCACATTCAGCTGTTTGATTTTTTACACAGAAACATACCCTAGAGGAAAGACAGCCTCTTTAATAAATGGTGCCAGGGAAACTGGCTATCCACATGCAGGAGATTGAATCTAGACCCACATCTCTCACCGTGTACTAAATTAACATCAAAATGGATCAAGATTTAAATATTAAAACAGAAACTATCTACTAGAAGATAAAATAAGTAAAACTCTTGGAGACACAGGCATAGGCAAGGATTTTCAGAACAGAGCTCCAAAGGCACAAGAAATAATACCAAGAATCAACAAATGGGATCATATGAAATTAAAAAGCTTCTGCACAGCAAAGGAAACAACCAACAGAGTGAAGACCATCTACAGAATGGGAAAATTTTTGCCATCTATCCCTCAGACAGAAGACTAATATCTAGAATATATAAAGAACCTCAAATAAAAAGACTCAATCAAAAGATGGACAACTGAAATGAATAGACATTTCTCAAAGGAAGTACTAATGGCAGATAAGTACATAAAAAAGATATTCACCATCACTGGCCATCAGAGAAAAGCAAATGAAAACAAACTGAGATTTCAACTTACCTCAGAAAGAATACTTATTATTATGGCGTGTGCTCAGATATCCTCCCAAAGCCTCAAGCTTTTTCTAGGTGGCTGACTCTAGAGTACGTGATTGATTCATGGTGGGGCTAGGGCCGAGGGCACTGGGATTAAGGGCGTGAGTGCTACCTGCCCTAAGTAGTCTGAATAAGATAAAAGGGGCAGAAAGATGCTGTTAAGGTCCCTCTTGTTGCCTTTGCTGCCTTGTGCACACCATGTTGTTTCTCCTATTCAATGCCTGTTTGCCATCCCTGCCTTGGAGCCAGCCGACTATGGACTGAAACCTCTACAAACTATAAGCAAATAAACCCTTTTCCCTTCAACTTTAGGTGTCAGGTATTTTGTCTCAGCAATGGGAGAAAAGTAAACACAGCTATTATCAAGGAATCAAGAAATCAAATAATAACAAACGCTGATGAGGCTGCGTTGGGGGGACACAGCCTTCTACCTCGCTGGTGGGAAGGCAAACTGGTAACACCACTATAGAAATCAACATGGGGATTGCCCAAGAAACTAAAACTCCAAATTCCCCAAGAAAGGAAAACTATAAATTCCACTGGATTCAGCTATTCTCCTTCTAGGTATCTTCTCCAAAGAGTTACAGACATCACACTGAAGCAAGGAGACAGGGGAAGTTAGGCAGATAGGGTGCAGGTCTTGAATAATTAACCTAAAGTAAACTAAAAGTCAGGGCTTAAGTCAGTGAACATGCCAGAGGGCCTGAATAACTATCAGGGCCGAATGGAATGCAGGGGACAAAGAAAGAGCAGGTCCCTAACCAAATGGGAGAAGCCCTGGAGGAAGTGACTTGTGAAGGAAGCAGCTTGCATCTGGGACATCAGAGGCTACCTGCACCATGAGAGTCCTGCTTCTGTCCTGTTCACCCCTACCAAAGACTGTCATGCCTCTGGACTTAAACATCTACAGCAGTAGTGCCAAACCTATGGCATGCATGCTCAGTGCGCTATCTGTATTATAGGAAGCTCTAAAAGATTCCCCAGCACTGATCTACAGTGTCTGCCTTAGCGGAACTCCTCTACAACTCTCAGGGAGCTTTTCCTTTATTCTTTCTAATAATTACACATTTGGTCATTCCTGCTGCTTGGTGCTTGCTGTTTTGTTGGCATCAATCTTCCTTGTCCCAAAGCAAGAGCCTGAGAGCAAGAGGGAGCTGCTTACAATCTTGCAGTGATACATGCATACTTGTGTGTTTGTTTCTGTTTTCGGTACCGGGGATGGAGCTCAGGACCTTGCGCTGGCGAGGCAGGTGCCGGAACCACTGAGCTAACCGCCCCCCCGCCCCCCGCCCATGCATACCCGTGTTAATTGCAACACAATTCATAATAGCTAAATCTTGGAAGTGGGCTATATGCCCATCGACTGATGAATGGACAAAGAAAATGTATTTACATACAATGGAGTTTTACTTTTCCATAAAGAAAGATAAACTTGAGTAATATGCAGGAAAACAGATGCATCTTGAGACCATATTAAGTGAAATAAATCAGACACAAGAGCTTAAATATCACATGGTTTTTCTTCTAGGAGAAACTCAGAATATAAATAAAGAGCAAAATAAAAGCTAGATAACAGGAAGTAGGGAGATTGCTTTTGTTCAAATGGGAAGAAGATCAGGAGCTGGGAAGAGTGGGGAGGGGAGAGAAAGGGGATCAAAAAGGAACAAAGATGTGTTGTGTGTATATGCCACCTCCCCACAAAAAACAGAAACATTGTATAATGCAAACGTGTACTAATAAAAATTAAACCTAAAAAAAGGGGGAGCTGTGGTTTAGAGGTAGGTAGGTGGCTCCTCCACTTCCAGCTGCAGACTGTTGATCTTGTCCCCAAAGTCCTGTTTGAAGAGCCAGTTGTCCAACTCCGCAGACTGGCAGCCTTGCTCAGCCTGGCACAATCTTTGTTCCAGTTGTTTAATGGTAGCAGCCATCTGATTAGTCTTCTCTTCCAAACAACTGTTTAGTTCACTTTTCTGTTTTACTCCTAAGTCTGAACTCTGTAACTTAAAGGCCAGTTCGTGCTTGAGGACCCTGAGGTTGTCCAGCTGCTGCTTCAGAGATACCAGTGCCTCTTGCTTCTTGCAAAGGTCTTTCTCCAAGCATCTTCATGGCCAGCTCCATCTCCTGCCGTATGCCGATCTGGAGTTCCAGCTCCCTCTCCACATCCAATCGTAACTGTGTCTCCTCCTTTAAATGTTTTCTTGCTTCACTCAGTGCTTGCCCATCAGCAGTTCTGTCTTGCTTAGGATCCTTCTGATTGGATTCCAATATGTAGGTGCTTTCTTCTTTAACTCGTTCCATTTCTTCTTGCAAGGCAATAATCCTGTTGTTTGCAACTGCAAGCTCCTCCGTCAGTTTAGGGTTGGATTTTTCTAATGCATCTACTTTTGCCTGAAGGTTATTTACTGTAGCATTCTGAAGTCTGTTGAGTTCTTCCACATAGTTCTTCTGGTCCAGAACTGCAGTAATCTGACCATCCCCTTCACCACCTTTACTGCTGTTCCTATCCTTGAGATACATGGAAAAGTTGGTAACTCCAACCTGAGAGTCAAGATCTTCTCCTTTCATACAGAAATTAGCATCAATGACATTCAGCCCCACAAACAGGCCTGCAGTTATAGCTCCTTCTTCCTCCATCATGAGAGCAATTTGGTTCATAGAGCTCACTGAGAAGTTCCTTTTTATTGATCAGAGCTTTCATATATTCTGAAAGTTTCTTTTGCATTAATGCCAAATGAAGCCAGGCTCTTCCTCAAGGCAGTGGTTCTTCACTGAATAATCCGCTGCAAAAACAGCCACTCCGAGAGACACCTTCCCAGAGATCCTAACTGATCTGAGGTGAGAGATGGCATCTGTGACGGAAAAGCTCCCCAGGTGATTTTAATGTGCAGCCAAGTGTGAGAACCAGTCCTGCGGCAACTTGCAGGATTTGTTCTGATTGCAGTGGGAGCCAACTGAGCTGTGGTCCTCAAAGCAGAGGCCCAGTCAGCAGCATCAGAATCATCCAGGTTCTAGGAGCTTGTTGTGGGAGATGCTGATTACCAGGCCCCACCCCAGATCTGACTGGGCAGTGGATCTGGGCTGGAGCCTGGTCATCTGTGTTTAACAAGCCCTCTGAGTGAATGCACACTGACATTAGAGCCACCTCGATGGATGGTTTTCAGGAGGAAATGCAACTAGATTTACACTGTAGCCAGGCTAGTCTAAAATAGTCTGCTACAGTAGCTGCGCTCTCCTTAGAGGTTATTTTTCCTTCTTGGTTAGCAGAACCCCATCATCCATATTTGACTTGCTCTTTTCCCAAAATAGCAGCTGCTGGCCAGGGGAACTGGAAACCTTTGAGCACTAGTACTGAGGCTTGACAGAATCACAAGTCTCTAGGGCCAGGAAGACAGGAGCTGGCTCATTTTACAATTGAGACAACTGAGGCCCCCAGGGCACTGTCTCCCACCACCTCTGCAGGTTGTGGCCTTAACTAATCCCAAATCTTAACATCTTCTAGTCCAGGTCTCTGCAAGTGGCTGCTGGAGCCTGGTCGTGTTAACTGGAAGCACAGAGCCCAAGGGAGCTTTGAAGAAACCACTTTGAGTCTGGTGCAGGCCTTTGCCAGTTGCTGGGCTCTGAGAGTCCTTCGAGCAGGGGACTGACTGCTGCAGCCACTCCAGAGGGAGGGAGTGCTGTGTGCCATGGAGTTGCAATTCCTTTTCTTTCTGACACAGCACCCTGGGACACACTGCTCTGCTCTGGGTCGAAGTTCCCAGACTCTCCTTGTTGACCCAGAGAGTTGATGGGGCAGGGTGAGGGACTCTGTGCCCAGAAGAAATGCCTGGGGTCAGCTCCCGGCCAGGCACGAAGCCAATGTGGCCCCACACAGCTGGCTTCCTTAAGGATTCAGGCTCCCTTCACAGCCCTGGCAGAGCAAGTGTCTGGCATCTGCTTATCCCAGGATTCAGACCAGGGCCTTAGCTGCTCCCAATCTGGCCTGAGATTGCTGAACATAGGTGATGTTTCTCCTAGGGCTCAGAGTCCATGTTCAGTGGCTTTCTAATGATGTTTGAGCCCCGTGATACCATCACATGGCCAAAGGAAGGGGGTCTGTGTACCCTGAGGTCACCACACATGCCAAGCTCAGCCCTGGAAGAGGGGCAAGGCAGTGGGAGAGAAAGCAGGAATGACTGGCATCCTCTTGGGGAGGCCACTGAATCCAGGTTGATGGAAGCACCTTAAGCCAGGCCAGGGCCTCCTGTGTCCTGCACTCACCGGAACCTGGGGGAGTCTGAATGGCCCCAAGTCCCAAGTACTACAATTCCACCCTCCTCTGTGATCCTCCCAGAATCCTCTCTGAAATCACCAAAGCTTCCCCTTCTGCAATGGGACTTCAAATACAGTTTGGGGACTCCAAAGGTTCCCACAGGAGCAACAGTTTGCTGTTACTGGCCTTCCACAGAGCAAGGCTGCGATGGATCCCCAGGGGCCAGGCAAGGGGGCTGGGGAGGTGACACAGGACTCACCTGGTTCTTCTTCATGAACAGCTGAACGGTCTGCAGGTTAGTGCCATAGTCATCGGACTGGGCCAGTGGCAGCCTCTCCTCCACCCAGAGCTACAGAGACCAGGAGACAGGGGACAGCTGGTGATAATCATGGCCACCCTTTCCTGAGCACCACAAAGAACCAGACAGAAGGCTGCTGGCAGTGTCTCCCTGCTCCCCCCCAGTGCCCCATTTTACAGCTGGGGACATTGTGATATTTTGAACTGAGGTTCCAAACAACCTGCTCCTGCTCTCAGGATGGGAAAGCAGCACAGTAACATAGATGAACCCAAAGTCCGTCTGACCCCCAAATCCATGCTTAACATTATCAATACGAGCAAGTGCTCAGTGAATTGCCATTCAAAAAAAGCACTGGGTTTGCTCCTCTCTTTAATGCAATCATCACAGCGACCTCAGGAGATAAGGGGTGAGATGACCAGTCACCCACAGCCCAGAACTGTTCTGGACAGCAGCCGGCTACCCTGATGGCAGCTGGCAACTCGGCCCTGGGGGTGGAGAGGCTGCAGCCCACGCACCGTCTCATCCTCTAAGTCCCGGCTGATCTGCAGCTTGGCTCTGGATAATTCTAGCTGCTTCTTCCTCCTCCCCAGTGGTTCCAGAAGGTCCAGGAACCGCTTCTCGACACTCAGGTCTGCATCTTCTCCCAACGAGGTAAACAGCTCCTCCAGCTCTTCCTTACGCACATTCACTTGGTCCTCCACTCGCTGGGACACAAGGGGACAGCGTCAGCACTGGCTCTGGCACCTGGGCAGCCCTCCTGGCTCTCCAGCCACCTGCCTCCGCCCATCCTCTAAGGCCCAATTGAGCTCAGCCTCCTCCTCTCAGTACCTATCCTGTATTTCCCAGGCACTTCACACCATCCTTGCCTGCCCACTGCAAAAGGAGGAGGAAAAGGATTATGAACCAGAGACATTTCTGCATAATAACACAACTGCAGCTAAGAGAAATAACAGCGTTTCCTTTAGGCCTTCAGGTTTGTGCCCCCAAGATCCCTGCTGGTCTAATACTGAATGTACAATCTGCTCACATGCCTTCAACTTAGCTAACATCCGGTTGACACTGGTCAGGTCCTTGCCCAGGTCATCTGATCGCAGTTGGTCTTCCATGGCGCTGATCCATTTGTTGAGGTCAGCTTCAGTCTGTGAGCGCAGGTCAGAGCTCCTGGCCTTGGAGAGTTCTTGGGTCATCTTCTTGGTTGTGTCCTGCAGCTCATCCCAGAGCCGGTGCAAGGCTTCTAGCCTCTCAGACACCTTTTGCTTGAACCAGGGCTTCTCCTCCATCAGCTGCTTCCCTTCCTATGGAAGAAGGAGTAGAGGTCACTCTCAGAAGCCTTGGAGAAGCCCAACTTCAGGTGAAGGCTATTTGAGGGGAGGCCAGTAAAGCAAACAACTGCATAGAACTTGGGTACTGCTCCACCAAAATACTCTGCACCCCTGGAATTATCTGCAGGGAGAGCAGCATTGCAGGCAAATGACTCAGGGAGACCACAGGATGGGGGGAGGCTGCAGGGAGCAGTCTGCTGGTACTGAAAAACCAAAGATTCAAGGTCTATCCAGGTGCTAGAAGCATGGAGGCCTCCCTGTGAGCTCAGGTTGTGCACTAGCCTTGGGGATCTCTTTATCGGCACAGCACGCCTTATCTGGGTGTCACCTAGGTAAATGTATTGCTTCAGGGTGTGTACAGTGCGATAGGCCTTCGGCCTAGGAATGTACAGTATTAACAGCAGCCAATGTGTACTGAGGGCCTCACCACTGCCAAGTGCTTCATCTGTCTCCAAGCATTCAGCACTCATAACTCCACGGGGTCAGCGCTATTATTCTCCTCATTTTAGGAGAGGAAGAAGCCAAGCCCCAGGAAGGCTGAGCAGTCAGTCTGGCTCGAGGCTGCACCCTCACCCATTATGCGGCTTGGTCTCCTGTGTCCCCTGGGCCTACTTCTTCCCGGACAGCCACAGCAGGGAGAGTAAAGGGATTCGATTCCCAGATCCTCTAACATCAGCCACCGGGCAGGCCCACTAGAGAGGGTACAGGTACTCTGTGTCCCCATCTTTGTGGGTGGTGAAGGACTGACTGCTCCCTGGTGGTTTTGCCCCTCCAAACAAGGAGGGTAAATGGCTCTGCTGGACCACTCTGGTCACCTCATGTGTTTCCCTGGCCCTGGACAGGACAGTGCTGGAGCCCTGGTAAGGACAAAGGAGGCAAACAGAAATAACTGCTATCTTGGCACTGGATCTAGTTGGGGTGTCCCCAGTGTCCTGACACTGTCCTGACACTGTTCTGTCCTGACAGAAGAGGCACAGTTTTGCAGTCAGGCTTAAAACAAGATTAGCTGTATTGGGAGCTCTGAAGTCTTAATGATTTAGAGAAGTTTTTTCACTGCCAGGTTCTACAGTGCCCAGCAAGTTTGGGTACAGTGTCCATGCCAAGGGAGAAGCCCCAGTCACAGACTGTTCTCAGCAGCAGGCCCAGCAGTCCCGACCCAAGCCACTCACTGCATCAATGTTCTCGAGCCACCCTTGGTGTGAAGCCAGCTCGGCCAGAAACGCCTGGTGCTTCAGCCATTTGTTGTGAAGGTTGCGTGTTTCATCATAGGAGACATCCAGAGACGTCAGCAGCTTGTCATTGATCCAGAGAGTGAGCTGTGGGCAGAAAGGGTGAGCTTGATGGTGCCTGATTCTATCCCTGGCTGCAGAAGGAGAAGCCCAGGGGAGGAAGTGTAAAGAGAACAAATCTCCATCTCTGGATCCCTAGGTCCCAGCATCACGCCTGGGCCACAATGTGGGTGTGGGTGCATCCTCCTCACTAGAGTGTGTGTGGTGCAAGACCAAGAATAATTTATCCTTATCTCCGTATTTCCAGGACTGAGAGCAGGGCCTGGCAATAGTGTAGGAAGTCAGTGAGATTTTACTGGATGGACAGATGAATCTATCCTTTGGCAGTAGGGTGAGAAATCACTAGTAAATGCAGGGAAAATGTTGTCTGAGGAAGAGGCCAATGTTATCTGAGGACAGATCCTATAATAAACAAGGAAGAAAGAAGTGTGGTGAACCTCCAATGTTTCCAAGATATCCTGGTGCCATACCAGGTCTGGCTTGTGCCAAGGGCAGAGGTAGATGAAAACAAAGTTGTCTGGGCTGGGAGGAAATGGCAAAAACAGGAGAGCAGGGGAAGCCCCATTGTACATGGGAAGTCCTGGCAATGGAGGGACCCAGCGGGCAGATTAAAGACCTCCCTTGGGCAATGGGCCCCAGATGAGCAAGGACTACCTAAACCGGAAGTTCGCCAACTGGGAGGGTTGTTTAAAATGCTTCTTCCTCTATCTCACTTCTGAAGGTTCTGACTCATAGGAATCTCATCTACCCAGGGCTAAGTTTAGATTCACAATTTGCAGGGCATGAAGCAAACTTAAGATGTTTAAATCCACTACAATGGATTTCAAGATGGCAACTGCAAGGCACTAAGCCAAGGGTGGGCTTCTGTGGATGAATGGAAAGCTCACACGCCCTTGAAGCCAGGCTGTCCAGGTCTGGACAGATTCCAACAGAGAGAGTTTTCAGAGAACTCTTTGAGAAACCCTGTCCTTGACTCAGAAAATCAAAGGATGACTTTTCAGGTTTGTGGGGGCAAAAGAACTCTGGAACTGAAGATTTCGAGGGTGATCTAAATGACTGGGTACCCTGGTCATAAAATCCCACCACTCTTGTGTGAGAAAGGATTCCTGTGAGCTGCCACCCTTAGCGCTGCTTTGCTCCCAGCCAGGGATCTCCCAGAGAGCAGGCCCCGAGTGCGGGCCTTACCTCCTGGCAGTTCTGGAGGAAGTTCTGCAGCTCCAGGTTGTCTTTCAGGAGAACTGTGGCCTCCTGGGCCCTCTGGTTGTTCTTCTGGTGCCTGGAAGGAAGCCAAAGCTGGTGACAACAGTGCCAAGCCCGGGGTCCTTGCCCAGCATCCCCAGCCCCTCCATGGTGTGGGGTCCAGGGGCACTCAGAGCAGAGAGTACCTGTCCTCTATCAGCTGCACCTTCTCCTTGATCTTGTCCAAGTACAGGTTTCCCTCAGCTACCAACTTGTTTCCAGAGTCCACAGGACTCAAGACCTTATCCTTGTTGTTCTCCATAGACATCAAGAAATCCTCAAACTTCCGGATGCCGGCCTCAGCAGCTGCTAGGGAATCTGGGGGCTCCACATGAGCCAGAGTATATTCCTGTTGAAGCAAGTTTCCAGACAAGGCATGAAGGCAAGCTGAGGAGGCTTAGGGCACCTGCTGAGCCACACAGGCTACAGTGTGAATGGTGTCCCCTAGAGTTGTGCACGGAGGAGGCTCTACTCCTCAGGCCTGGCTCCCATGGCCACCCCAGGGGCATCCAGTGAACAGTGGCTCTAAAGCCACACGGAAGGGTAGTCAGTCAGGAAAATATGTACTTCTCTAGCCTTGGACTCCCCGAGTGATGGGACAGAGTTTAGGGCTAGAAGAGGTATATGATGAGAAACAAAAAAGTCCTCTCCTCCCGATAAGTGACTGCAAAGAGCCCAAGAAAAGCCTGTCTTGTTCCCAGAGCCCTGTAGCTCACTCACAGATTCGTCACTAGAGCTGATGTCCTGGGAGCCCCTGACCCCATCCCCCACATGCCTCTCTCTACCTGGTTGCTGAGGATGGCTTCTGCTTGCTTGGCATCTTTCTGGAACTCCTGGAAGCCACGGCACTGTCGGAGAGAGTGGCCACGACTCTCCCACATCCGGTACAGGGCATCCCAGCCAGTACCAAGGCCCTCCAGCCGCTGGCCCAGGAGCTGGTACTCTGGATACTTCTCGCCTTCGGTTGCCTCCTCCCCAGAGGCCTTGAGCTGCTGGTAGCCCTCTTGGTGACTGTCAATCTCCTGCTTGATGGCTGCATGCTGCTGTATGAACTGTTTGATCACTTTCTCCCCAGAGGCCTTGATCTGCTGGTAGCTTTCCTGATGACTGTCAATCTCATCCTTGAGGGCTGCGTGCTGCTGCAGGAGCTGCTCGGCCTCCGGGAGTGACTCAGGCATGTCTTCGGAGGCCACAGCCTTCTGGGCCATGGACAGCCAGGCCTGGAATTCATCCAGATCCTGCAGGAAGGCCTGCAGCTTGCTGGCTTCACCCAGGGAGGCCTCCTGGTCCTTCAGGGCTTCTTGCAATTTTTCCCACAGCTTCTCAACATCTGCATACCGCTGGCCAATGTTGTCCCTCTGCTCAGGGTGTGACTCCATCAGCTGCTGTGACTCATGCTTCAAGGCCCCCACTCGGTCCTGGATGGCAGCCACATCACGTTCCAACCCTGACAGCTTCCTCTGGATGGTGATGATGCGGGCCAGGTCCTGTCCCAGGTCCTTTATAGACTCCACAACTACTGTCTTGTCCGATATCCACTTGCTGGTCTCCTCGCAGTCCACACAGTAGTTGTGCACCCGGAGGGCCGAGTCCACTGCCTCCCTCTGCTGTGACACTAAGTCCTGGAAGGCCTGCCACCTGCCGGAGGAGGGTGAGGCCCCCGAGGGACCAGAGACACCTAGTTCCTTATCTCTGCTATTGGGCACCTCCCAGATTTCCCATGCATCTCCCCCTTAGCCCTTGGGTGCTAAAATTTTTTTCTCTTAACAAACTATGGGTGAGCAAAATTCGTTTGTCTAAATTTACTCAAGACATATCTGACAATCAGATCTCCTGACCAGCAGGAGGCGAGTGATGATGTGATCCCAGACACACAGAAAGGAAGACGATAGCCAAGCTCTGCATGCAGCTGGAGTTCAGGCAAATAGCAGCAATCTTAGATTTATGATGGTGTAGCTTTTCAGTGGTGCAAAAGCAATATACATTCTTAGAAACTGTACTCTGCATTGCAATATAAGCCATGACGCTCTGGCGAAGCTGGGTGTGGCATCAGGCTGCAGCTCCCAGCCAGCCATGAGGTAACCAGGGTAAACAACAGTGTGCTGTGCTGTTAAGCTAGGGTGTTTGGAGGGGTAAGTATAGTAAATGTATTTTTTTTTAAGTTGAGGCCTCACTACGTTGCATAGACTGGTCTTCAATTGGGCTCAAGTGATCCTCCTGCCTCAGCCTCAGAGTAGATGGGACTAGTGTTAGTAGTGCTATGCCCAGCCATAAATGCATTTGCTACTTAGGATATCATCAACTGACAATGAGTTTAGCAGGATGTAAATCCATCTAAAGTCCAGGAGCATCTGTATACAATTTCCCCAGCATTTTACAAATGTTGAAAATAATTAGAAGGCATACATTATCAACTTCAAGAACACTCAGGACAGAAGAGTCCCCAGCTGCCCTAGGGGAACACTGCAAATGCCCATGTTCAAAGTGCTGTAGGGCCTGAAAAAGTTCACCTTGGCTCTAAAAGAAAAGTGGGCTGGTGAAAAAGATCTGGGTTTATAATTAACATAGGTTACATAATCTTACCCTTCAACTATGGGGCTGCTACGAAGCAGGGAAATTCACTAAGGCAGTGATGGCAAACCTATGGCATATGTGTTATTGTGTTTTTCTTTTAAGACCAAAGATATTAATGTATGAGCTATTTTTTATATGCTAAAACCTCAGTATTCAGGTTTAATTGCAGTGTTGGGACTTTGAATAAATAAGCAGGTTTTGGGCTGCAGTTTGGGCACTTGTCTCTAAAAGGTTTGTCATCACTGTCCTAAGGTCTGGCACGTAACTCTGGGGTCTAGGGTTGGTCAGCAGCACACAATAAGTCTCTTTTAAAGAGTTTCCCAGGAGCTAAGGATGTAGCTCAGTGGTAGAGCCCTTGCCCGGCCTGCATGAGGCCCTGGGTTTGACCCCTGGCACTGCTAAAAGAGTTGCCCATCAGCCAGGCCAGACCACCAAGGACACCTCCTTCTGGCCAGGCCTGCTCATTCTGCACCATAACACAGAAGCGCACAAGAGTACACTGTCTGCTCCTTCACTAACTGAACCCAGCTCTCTTGAACACCCACATAGCCTAAGACATTACGTTAGACTTTGGGAGAAATGGACAAAAGTAGCTCTTGCCTATGGAGTGTGTAATTTAGAGAGAAATTGAGACAAATCACAAAATAACTGTAGTATAAAGGACTATGTGTGTGGCACACATGAGGCAGAGAGGACTAAGGAGCTGTAAGGAGGAACACGGAGGCGGTGGCAGGTTTCCTGGAGGTCATCTGAGCTATACCTCCAGGGCATTCACTGGAGTGAGCTACTTAAGGAAGGGACTCTGAGTCTCATCCATCTTTGTACTCCGATGGAGGTGGAGGGACTGGTCATGGTGACAGAAAGAACAAACACTGCAGCATCTCTTCCCATCAAGACCAGGCTGGGTGTGCTGTGGGCTTCTCAGGGTGGACAGGAACAACTAGTCTTCTCTGAAAGACAGGTCTGCAGGGAGAAATGGCGGGGGGGACACCAGAAGTCCAGGAGACATAAGAGGGAGCCTGAAGCCTTCTTGGCTTCTCTTCTGGACTGTGAAGCCCTTGCACTTTGGGAATTCCATGCCTGGTGTACAGACGCTGCTCTGAGGATGGAAAGTGAGGAAGCCAGGTTGGTCTGAAATACTGGAGAACTTACAGTGAAGTTCTCCTACAAGAGGGTCTGGCTGTGCCCCAGGCAAGAGGCCCAGTGGCAATTTTCCAGGCCCTTCCTGTGGAAAGGCCATACAGGAGACAGGCTCGGATGTGGGTCTGGTCTGCCCTCCAGCCCCACCATTTCCTCCTACGCTGTGCCGTCTCTGAGAAGGAGGAAGGTGGCACAGCCACTTCAGTTAGCACCATTAGGCGACATCGGACATCCAGTTGGGCCCAGGATTTTAGTTTTTAATTTTTTAAATTTTTTTGGCACTGGGGATCAAACTTGGGTCCTTGTGCTTGCACAGCAGGCGGTGAAACCACTGAGCTAAATCCCCGGCCCAAGGGCCCAGGAGCTTTAGAAAAATGTCAGTTAACTGGAATGCACGCCATGAAGGATGACCACACATTCAACAAGTACTTGGGTGGCTTGTGCTGAGCTGGCAGAAACATTTCAGTTTTGTCCCTGATCATTCATGAAACATCTGTCATGCAACTAGCACATGCCTTGTGCTAGGTGCTGACCTGGGCACGGGGGATTTTGCAAAGAACAGAGTAACGTCTTTGCTGTCACTTAAGTGGACAGAGATGACTAAAGGCATCTATCCTCCGCCAAGTGGTGAGAAGCACACAAAAAGGAAACCAAGGAAACAGGACAGAGCCCACGGGGCTGGCGAGAGGGAGGGAGGTGCTTCTTTCAAGGGGCTGGTCGTTGCAGACTGCTCCCCTGAGCTGACATGTGAGAAGAGGTCCGAATAGAGGACAGAGTGAGCCATGTAAACCTCTGGGAGAAGAGTATCCCAGACAGGGGGACCTCCGACCGGAATGTGCTTGGTGTGCAAAGCACTGTGGCCGAGAGACAGAGACGCAGCTCCTCATCTGCGTTAGGAAACACGGGAAATCCTGCAGCACAAGAGTACAGTCATGCACCCACAGAGGGCGTTTTGGTCAGTGATGGACCACACCTATGACAGTGGCCTCGAGATTATCACACAGCCAGGACACTCCTGTGGCCTGGAGATGTGGTCACCATCGTGTAGTCCCACTGCTCACAGGTTTGTGGTGATGCTAGTGCAAACAAACCTACAGTGCTGCTAGGTGTACAAAGTACAGCACATACAATACGTAATGCTCACTTGTGACACTGCATGACTCCATTGCTGGTTTATGTACTTACACTATTCTCTTCATTGCTATCTTAGAGCATACTCTCACTTATAAAAATAAGTTTACTATGAAACCATATACTATACTACCTGGCATAGTTCTCATGTTTACACTGTCTTTTGACTGCATCATTTGCGCCAGTCCTTGATTTAATATCTCCCTGCCCCTCGGGATTGAATCTAGGACCTTACACATGTTGAGTGCACTCTGCTACTGAGTTGCTTGCTACACCCCCAGCTTATTCTTGTGTTGTTTTGTTCATCCTGACTCTAGGAGCAGTAAGCTATACTATACACATACACCATACAGCCTGCAGTAGACTATCCCACTTAGGTTATGTTAGTATACTCTACAGTGTTTACACAGTGATGACACCACCTGACGATGCATTTCTCAGAATGCCTTCCTGTCATTAAGCAATTCAGGGCTGTAATTATGATATGAGGTTGGGTGTGAAGCTCAAAACCAGTACAAAGGAGGGAAACTTATTTTTCATCTGGGAAACATAGAAGGAAGGGCCCCTCCTGGCTCCGTTGAAAGGAGGGGCCGGATTTAGAGTATGCGGTGAGAGTAGTACATGGCTAGGGAAGAACGGAGGCTGGGTGGGAGGACTGGGATAGAGATGTAGAATGACAAATTGTCCTAAAAAATACTTGAAGAGCTACACACGAGCCAGGATGAGTTGTAATATCTCTAAGGAGCACAGCCAGAATGAGTGTGTATAAACTCCAAGGAGACAGAATTCCACTCACATGAGACCATGTGTTCTAACCAAAGGGAGTTGTTGCCTCCAAGCGGGACGGGTGGCACAGTGAGGGAGCGGGCTCCTATTCCTGGTGGGCAGAGATCTTTCTCACCTCTCAGACTTGGCAGAAAACCACTTCTCCATTTCTCACTTCTGATTTTTTTTCCCACCTGAGAATATCAGGTACCTTGCTGTTTGGGGTACAGTTTAGTTTACTCCTTCTGTAAGGGTCGATATTCTCTGACTACAGCTCACTGCACAGCTGACAAGTTCTTCCTGTCTGGGAGTTTCTCTGGTTTAGACTGCTCTAATTTCCTCAAACTGCAGCTGCAACAACCCCTCTCTCCTCTCCTCTCTCTCTCTCTCTCTCTCTCTCTCTCTCACAAACACGCACACTCACACATTTACCTACCAACGTAAAGAAGAGCGAAGAAGCACACTCCCCTTACTCCTCTGTATAACAGCGGATCTACCTTCCCCACACTGCAGTTTCCATTCTTGGATGCTGAGATAATCAGCCCCACTCTAGCGGCTCTGAAGTGCCCTCCTCACCCCTGGCTCCTCTTAGGACCCCGGTGGAGTCTCCACCGTGCTGGTCCACCTCTTTTCCGAAGTCTCCCCTAAGCCCACCTCCCAGACTGCACGGGCCAGAGCAAGGCTGAGGCCCCAGCACGGAGAAGGGGCAGGGAAGCAAGGAGGTGGTGAGCACACAGCAAGCACTGTGTGGGGCCCGGGGTAAAAAGGGGATGTGGCTCTGTCCTGAAAGACCCTCCAGGAGCTAATGGGCAATGATGCCCCATACTGAAAGCAGCCACTCTGGAAAGGCTTCTCAGGGTCTGGGTTTTGTTCTGACCGTGAAGCTTGCTCAAGGCGCTCTGTTAATTCTCCTCTTCATTCCAGCCAACCTTATTATCCATGTTGCATTTTGGCACAGGCGGGAGCATTCTTTTATGGACAGTACTTAAAAGCTTTCAGAAAGCAATTTCCCCTGCCCAAGACTGTCCAGGGAAATATGGCCTGAGTACCCTGCAGCCTGGTCTAACCACAGGCACACTCAGATCGCCCCTTCATTGCACGTGTGCAGACCTCCGCTCCCCCAACACGGCATTCAGTGCTCAGAACATATCTCTCTCCCTCCTGGGCGTTAACCCTGCTGCTCCCTCAACCCTGTTGCTCCCTGTGTAGATTCTCCTACTCGCTGCTACAGCCCCAGTACTAGGAATAAGGCCGCGGCCGAGAAAGACTGGAGCACTGCGGGTATGAACACAGCAGTGCAGAGCAGGTGGCCTGAATCTGGGGTGCTGGGAGAAAATCTCCGCAGCCTCAAGGCCCGCCCACACCCCACCTGGTGTTCAGGGTGTCCTGGTACTTCTTCACCTCTCTGCTGCGGGGGTGGCCACTCTCCATGAGGTTGTTAGCAGCGAGGTTCACGCCATCAATCTGAGCCTTCAAAGTCTTCACCTCCTGGTCAAGGATGTCAAACCTGATACGCACAGAGAGAATGAGGACAGTGAGCCGGCAGCAGACCCTTCATCGCCAGTGGCCCTGATCTCCAAACATCTCCTGAGCTCTGCTTTCTCCTTCCACTCCTGAAGGCCTTTGTCCAGGTGAGGGGAAGCGGGCAGAGGGTCCAACACCATGGTTTAGCACTGGCTGGGCTGGGTCAGGAGAGAGCTGTTGCTGACTACTCAGGCTTCTGGCTCCTCCGAGAAAGACGAAGGAAGCCAGGTTTACCTGTGCAGATAAAGACCACCTGCCATGCTCCCACTGCCCCAGCTGCTGCTCCTAGACCCTCATTCCACTATCCCGATACCCTGGTCCCCCAGCCAGGTGCTCCATTCCTTAGTAGGATAAGGAAGAGCTGCTGACGTTATGTGGCTGTGAAGGCTGACCCTTCCTGGGTAAGAGTAAGGACCCAGTGCTCAGCATCAGGGTGAGACCAGCTGGACGCTGCTCCTCTCCTCCTTCTCAGTCTCTGGGCTCTGCATGGCCTGAGCACACCTTCCCGTCAGGGGCTGATGGAATCGGAATGCTGCAAGTTGGGGTGGCCTTGGAGCCTGGTGGTTTAAAAACTGGTCTCCGTGGCCCCTGAGGTTTAGGGACAGCCACGGAAAACAGAAGACTACAGGTGATGGCATTCCGTCCGCTCACCCCCCCCCCCATGTCCACGGCAGTGCCACTTTTCCCCTGCACTGCATGGGCTTCTACACAGAACTCACTGAGCACAGGCTGCTGCACCTGAGAATAACTCAATTGGACCAGAAAATCCCTTACATTTGAGGAACCCAAGACCTCCATGGTTGAAGTACCCAAGGCCACAGAGCCAGAACAGAACTCATGGCTCCTGATGCCTGGATTTTGCAACAAAGGTCGTCCTGTGGACTCTCAGAGAGACCCCCGCTGGGCTGGTGGTGGGAGGCGGGACTCAGACCTGGGTGGGGAGGGAAGGAGAGGCCAAGGCACTCTGACCTGTGCTGCACAACGTCCAGGTCCTCCAGGGTGTCTGGGATGTCCATCTGGGCCAGCCACTTCTCCTTCTCCCTCATCCACAGCTGGCAGGCGTCTGATTCCCCAAACACCGTGTACAGGTCCAGGGCTTCCTGCAGCCTCTGTCGACGCAAGTCCGCCTGGGCCACCACCTGCTGGTAGAGCTCTCGGAGGGCCTGCAGCCGATTGGTTACATCCGGGGAATCCCGGAACTCTTCAGGGAAGCCCTGGGCCTGCTGTTCCAAATGCTCCATCACTCCATGGCTCTCCTCCAGCTCCTCCAGAAAGTCCCTGTGCTTCTTCTCCAGGGCCCGAGTGGCTCCTTCATCCTGCCCCACATCTTCACCTGAGAGTAGCCGGTGGGCATCTTGTAGCCAGGCCTTCAGGTCATCTGCATCACCCTGGAACTGGAAGAAGTTTTCCGCGTCTTGGAGGTTCTTCTTGCGAAAGGCAGCCAGCTCCTTCAGCTGTTGCCACTGGGCCAACACCTCCTTGACACGGGCCTCGATCTGTGGGTGCCCAAACTGCTTGCGCACAACCATGCTCTCAGCCTCCTGGAAGATCTGCTCCAGGTGGGCATCCAGCCCCCGGAGCTCGTCCTCAAAGGCCTTGTGCTTGCGCTGCAAGATGAGCACGCTGGTCAGGTCCCTGCCATAGTCCAAGGAGGAGTAGATCTGCTCCTTCTCCTTGATCCAGCTCTCGGCCTCATCCATCTCCCAGAAGAACTTCCAGAGCCTCTTTGACTGCTCCAGCTGGGCCTTCCGCCCGGCCGCCATGTCACTCAGCTCCCCAAAGCACTGCTGGAGGTGGCTGACTCGGTCCTGTATGACCTGGGGGTCACAAGGTTGGTACCCTGGAAGAATGGAAAGAGGGAGGATAATGAATAGAAAGGCTTCGTTTATGGGCAAGTTTCAGATCTGCTGCCAGGTTAGGGTCAAACAGTCTCAAAGCTGCCATCTCCCTGGGGTTTGGGGTGGGATGCAGGGACCCCAGTTACTCAGGGGGCAGGCCAGATTCTTTATAATTGGTTCCCCCTAAACTTCAGGAATAAGGGAGATTAAGAGTTGAGTCAATTCTCAGTAGAAGTGCACAACATGACATCATTTTTTAAAAACTCAGATATAAATTCAGTGAGGTCTCCTATTTAAGAGCAGAAACCAGAAACTTAAATTTTCTCAGCATAACCTGAACCAGCAAACAGAATGAGAGACAGATGATGTTTTATTGTGCTTATAAACACCTTTCTACCTGCAGATCACCAAAGCGGCTGCCTATTCTCTGCAGAGCTTTGCCATTCCCTCATGCTTTGTGCACCATTGCTTGATTAATAAAAGGAGCAGAATTCTACAGGCAGCTTCAAGGGATGTGTTCCAGGAGGGGTGCTGGGCCAGAGAACAGGGCTCTGGCATCAGAGGCCTGGACAGAGGAGCCATCCTAGGCCTCACCTGTGCTCTCAATGAATGGCACGGTGGCTGCAGTGATGGCCTTCACTTTGTCCCCTTGGATGGCAATGTCAGCTTCCATCAACTTGTGCTTTTGGAGCAAGTCCTCAGCCTCCAACAGGTGCTTACCAAACTCGGCAGACAGGAGGTGAGCCTGGCAAAAGACACAGGAGAGAGAACAAAGAGGAGTGAAGAGAAGGGGCCCCTCCCCAGTATAAGGCCATGTATCTGAGTCAAGGGAGCCTGGCTGAAGCTCAGGAGGAAGCAGCTGTAGAGCGAGAGCTCCTACCAGGAGTGCCTATCAGAATCCCCCAGGGAACACCCTACAGGGGCTCAAAACCCATGCTCCTCTACTACATCTGTCTCAAGGCTCGGGGCCCAGGCATGTGCATTTTTAGAGAGCTGCATGGTCAGGCTGATGTGCATCCTCAGTTGAGACCACGGCAGTAGAGGGAGTGCATGTCAGACATCTTGCCCTATGCTGAGAGATCTGGGTGCCAACCAGTGTGAAACTGTAAATACTTAGAGCCTGATTCTCCAGGCTCCTGATTAATGTCCTCCTCTCTTAGACCCTGCATGTTGGCCCCTGTATGATCATGAACATAAAATTATTTGGTCACTGGGATACTCTGGGCTTGGGCTGGTGACATTTGCTGGATGGATAAGAGTGAGCTGAGTGGCAGAAAGGCAGATGCAGTCAAATACTAGACTGATTCAGTTTCTCTACTGTGACTCAGGGACATGGCTGGGGGGAAGGATCTAAGGACACAGATGTGAACTGCAGGGCTACCGAGGCCCACGATTAGTGCTCAGCATCCCTGGCCCACCTTGATCTCATCCATCCAGTCGATGCTGTGCAGCATATCCTGGAAGAGCTTCTGCAGCTCCAGAGTGCTCTCAAGCCTCTGTCGCCGGGACCGCAGCAGCTCCTGCAGGTAGCTCCACAGGCGCAGGATATTGTCCTTGCGGGCCATGATGCGCTTCTGGTCGTGGTAATTCTCCTTCTCCAGCTCCTGGGCCAGGTCCTCTAGGGCCTTCACCCGCTCCTCATAGGCGGCAGTGTCCGTCTCGATGGCTTCATGCTTCTTCTTGGCGGCCTCCACAGCTGCCAGGTCATACCCGAAATTATCCTGTCCCCAGGAGGAAAAACCAGCAGCTCAGCTGTATGCCCCAGGCTCCATCGCAGGCTCCTCCCCTGATACACAGAAACTGGGGCTGGGAAAGCTCATCCTCGTGAAAGTGTTCTGCTGTCTTTTGGCAGCTTAACTTATCAGAGCCAAGGTCCAAAAACTAACTGTCTCACAAGAACCTCTACAAGAGCCTGATTTTACTCCCTATGCCACACATGCTGGTAACGTTGTGTCCCAAAGCCTGTGTTACTTAAAAACATTTTTATAGTACATGTTCGCAGTACATGGTGATTACATTCATCACGGGGGAATTGGTAAATGTACCTACCACATCTTAATTCTTTTTATGTCCCTTCCTTCCCTCTCACTGAACTCTGTTATTACTGCCAGAGTTCTCTGTTGCCCTGGGCACTGTCCCTGTCTCTGTAGACCTGTCTGATTCTGAGGGGCAGGGCCTACTTGTACCTGGAAGCCATGCAGCTGCAGCAGATGGCCTACCCATGCACTATCTGGGGTGCATGTGCTCTCTAATGATCTCAGGACTCTCACTATTCCCTTTCTAGCCCGAATTTAATTTGATTCCAAGCTCTAAGTAGGAGGGAACAGATGCTCTGATGAAGTATCAGCCCTTAGTCTGTTCTTAGTGAAATATGTCCCAGGACTGGCATCCAGAGTCAAAAAGGCACGTTCAGCAGATAGCATGCTCTGACTTCGCCCTCTTCCCAGAGAACCATCATTGAATGTCACCTCTACCTCCCACTTTTACTGATGCTAGTGGGCCCCATAGGACAGCTTCAGGGGGCAGTTTTGGACTGGCAAGCTCTTTCCTAAAAATGAGGCAATGTGGGCTGGGGTAGCTCAGCGGCACATATGAGATCTGGATTCAATCCCCAGTACCAAAACAGAGAGACTTAATAAATCCCGAGAGTTCTGTCCTAGAGAAAGTCTAGATCCGGCCAATCACGGGGAACTGGGCAGCAAGGAGGAGAGGTTTATCGGCTGCTGCTGAGACAACAGCTTGGGCTTCAGCCCAGTTGAGACCTGGGGGATCTACAGCATTTCCGTTCTCCTGCCATCCGAGATGTGTCCCTGTTACCTGTGTCACAAGGCGCTGGTTCTCATTGAGCCATGTCTCTCTCATGGCGGCCTTCCTGTCAAAGCGCCGGGCCAGCTGCTCCAGCTTCTCCTGGCGGATGAGCTCGCTCCTCAGGGCCAGCTCCCGCTGGTACTCAGCCTCCTCCAGGCTCTCCCAGGCCTGTATGGGGCAGAAGGAAAATTCCTGGGCCAGGTGGGAAACACCTCAGCTTGGGACACTGAGCAATTTCAGAATGAAGGTAGAGCTGGATGCTCATGGGTAAGGGGGTTGGCAGATTAGTGCTCAGTAACAGCCCTTTGGTTTCATGGCTGGGCCAAAGTGCCAAGGAGCACAGGTCATGACCTCTGGGTTCCCTCTGCTGCTAAACTTGCCTTGTACTCTTGGCCTTATATACTGTTTCTCACTCTCTGGCTGCTCAGCAAGTTCTTACTGACTAACACCTACCTCTATCCTAGCAGAACTTCCAGGTGAGGTTAAGTCCCCAAACCTCAGAACTGTCACAGGGCACTTCCCTTCTGTTGTAAGTAATAGTCCAGATTCAAAGACAAACTCAAGGTTCTATTGGCCCTGAGGAATGAACGCAACATCTGAACAGGGGGGTTGAGTCAAAGGACAGTGGGTGGAGACTGACCTCTCAGAATGACATTCAGATAAACCCCAGGAATAGCCAGCATGTAATTAATAACACCAAAGAAAGTGGCCAGTGGACACTCCCCATGGCTACATCCGAGAACTCCATCAACCCACTGGCGTCATGCAATGGACAACGCCACCATACCCGGTTGATGTCAGACACTAGTTTCCCGTCATGTGGTATGTACACTTTCTGATTGTTGGCTCGCATCCGGGACTGGATGGTAAAAAGTAGGACTTCCAAATTCCCCTTCTCTTGAAATCTGTGGAATAAACAGAAATAGAGAGACTGGTGTCACGATCCCTGAAGCCCAGTCACTTGCTGAAGGCAATGTGGAACACTGATATCCTGGATCTTGGAGGTCAAAACATATTTTCTTTAAAAACAGCAAGAGTAAAGGGAAACTGTAGGTCTGCTTACTTGTTACAGTGTCTGTTATTCTCCCCCATGGAGATCAACTAGAGGCTTGGGTCTTTACGACACAAATCATGGCTATCACAGCATCTATCATTTGCTTCCCTGGGGGAATAGCTAACAGGAATACTCTGGTAACTCTTGTAAACATCGTTTCACCAATCAATACAAAGAGACTCCTCTCTGTCCTGCCAATGATAAAAGCTTCTGCCTAGCTCTTTAGACAGTTTCTTTCCTTTATTGAGACAGTCAATAAAGCCTTAGAAGCAGCACTGTCTTTTGGACAATACACTGCACTGAAAGCAATCTTTACCCCAGTCCTAATGAACTAGGTCTCCAGCAAGTTCTATAGATGAGATGTTTCCAAGGGATCAGGAAAGGCTAGGCTCAGGGAGGTCTGTGGGTACAGCAGATAGGACCTGGCAGCAGGATGGGTGTCTGCCAAGTGGGGTCTGAGCTTCAGGTGACTGGTGCTTTCACATTTCTTCATGATCCCCAAACCTACCCACTTCAACATCCTTGACTTGGCAACTGAGGATCGGCTCTAAGCAAGGTCTCCACTGCAAGCTCAGCCAAACAGACCTCAGTTCTCATGGGTGCTTAAGTGGGCTGAGGCCCTGAAGCACTGTCCTGACTACACAGACAAGAGGTAACGGCCCTGTGTGCAGTGCCTGGTAGATGCGCAGCAGATGGAATCTGTATTGAATTTAGGACTTTAAAAGTAGGTTAGTGTCAGACTAGAAACAAGATACTTGTTTATAGTACACCCTAGTCTCGGAGTCTCTCCTTTCCTCACTTTAGTCTTGCATAGAGAGTGTGGGGGATGAAAGGGGAGGAACAAGGCCGAGGATGCCACCAATGGACTGCAATCTCTTATGGGACAGGAGGACAGGCTAATGGCAGAGAAGCTGGACTACCTCATGGGTGTATGTGTGTGCATGCACATTTGTGTATGTGTGTGCATGTTTGTGAATAATGCATGTGTATGCATGCATGGCTGTGTCTACATAATGTGTATGGCACATAGGTATGTGCACACTGTGTTTGCACGGCTGTGTGCCAGAATAACTGTATGTAGATGCCTATGCACGTGTGTAGTTGTAGATGTACTGCATGTTCTCTCTGTTATTTGTGTGTGGTGGTATGTGAACACGTGTGCATGCATAGTTATGTGCGCACATACCTATGTGCCTGCATAATTGTGTGTGTGTGTGTGTGTGTGTGTGTGCGCATAAGTGGTGGGGTTGTGCAGAGACCTAAGAAGCAGGCTGAGTGCTCTGCTCATGAGCAGTGACAGATGGGAGAGAAAATGACAGATGTACTTGATGATCACAAGGCTTCCTGCAGAGCTCAGGGGCTACGGATACAGAGGTCATCACCAGAAAATAAACCTGCAGCTGAATGACACTCCCCTCCTACTCCTTGTGGGGCCAGCTGTGAGTCAGGGTTTTAATCAATGCCTGTTTCCTACCAGCTGACAGCCTGAGGGGCATGCAGTAAGCGACAGATGTGGAGCTCTTCAGCCCTCAGGAGAGCCTTATGGACCCTTCATAAGGCCCAGAGCCCAGGAGGGCAGGTTTCTTGCCCTGATGACCACCCTCCCAAGTGCCAGGGCCCTTACTTGGGTGGCTTCTCCACAGTGCGGTAGGTGCTGAAGGCCTGCAGCTGCTGCTGGACACCCGTCAGCGAGTTGGCGAACTTGCGGCTGTTCAGCACGATGATGGTCTGTTCGATCCAGGTGAGCAGGTCCGAGGCTAGCCCACTGTACTTTTCAATCATCTTCTCAGTCTCAATGGCGTGGTCGATGACCTGTGGAGTCCCCTTGTTACTCATTCTCATCACAAGGGCAATGCTGCCAAGCAGGCCACTCCCGAAGACCACAGCCGAGGTACTCTGAAATGGGGCTCCTGTCTCTCAAACCCTAGAGTGTTCTAGGCTGGGTTTGTCCAAGTCCCTAACTATTGCTAAGGCAAAAGAGGTGGCCTGGAAATGGGTGAAACGCTCCTCTTGCACCAGTACAGTTAGCAGGGAACTGGCCAGGCTGGGGTTCAGGAGCAGCTGCCCCCTTCCCTGAACCCTATTATTCATAAGCTTGCCACACTAGGACACCAGTGTTCATTAGGAACTGCAGGCTGCCAAACACTGTCTTTGCTGCACATCGTGCACACAAAGGTGGTGAGAAATGGTCCCTACCCCTGAGAAGCTAACAACTCAGTAGGGGAAAGCAGTCAGACAGGAGGCTCTCTACAGAGGGATGGGCTCCTGACACATGGCGGGAGCCTGAGAGGTCTGGAGCCACAAGAAATGCAGCAAATGAAGGCCCTGAGTGACTCCTGCAGGGAGGTTGGTACACGGGTTTCCAGGTGGAAGAGAGGCCGGAGTTGCAGGCTGCAGCCCCTTGTAGGGCAGACATGCACCTGCTTCAGAGTTACCTCAGGAGCTTTAAAAGAAGATGGGGGTAGGTGTTCTGCATTCCTCATGCAGCTGAGGGCCTAGACCTGAAGATCCTAGGATGGTGAGGGACCTTTGAGTCAAGGGCTGGCTGTGTGAACAGGGGAAGAGTGACGCTGGGCTGATGAAACAGCTCTGTACCTTGCCGACACGTTTGCCCTCCACCGCCAGCACCTTCATCTTGGAGAAGTAGTGGTAAAATGCCACCACGTAGGTGATGATGGATTTTTCATCAGGGTTTTCTGTGAAGACATCTGTAAGAGGAAAAGGTACACATTCAGCACCAGCCCAGAAGCTAGAGAAGTCACACCCCAAGGGCTTAGCCCCATCCCTGCAGCAGGAAGCTCAACTACAGGGACCACGTGATGAGCACTGGGACAAGATGGTCATGAAATCCCCATTAGGACCACAAATTGCAAAAGCAGAAAGAAGAGGGGATCCTAAGACTCTAGGGACTGTCACACGGGCCAGCCAAGGCCTGGGAATCCAGATGGAGTGGAGAGCAGGCCAAGGACAGAGCCCTGGACCAAACTCTAGGAGCCCCAGCTGCCCAGCTCCCTCTAGGATGGCGAGGGGGTGCAGCCCACCTTCAGGGTCGAGGAGTGGGATGATGCCCAGCTGGCGCTCAGCCACGTCAAATGCGTGTTCCAGGTTGTGCCGGGCATTGGAGTCTTTCAACTTGTCAAAGTCGATGAGGTCAGGCCTGGGAACGAAGCTGGGCTGTTAGAAGGGAGTGACCGTGGTAGCCCCACTTACAGGGCAGCCCCAGCAGGAAGCAAGGACGCTGGGTAGATTCAGGGAGGTGGATGGGCAGGAGAAATGGGAGACAGGAGCTGAGAATAGCGGGGAGCTGGAAGCACAGCTGGTGAGGAAGGAGCAGCAGGTATGATTGAAAGCTGAAAGAGGCAGGGTCATTAGGGGAGGCCAAGGTTGGAAGAAGAAATGGCAGAGGTGACATTCTCATGACATGTCCTCATTCAACAGCAGGGGGCTCTCCTTCCTCTTACCGGTGCTTGTGTATCAGGGCGTTAAAGGCCAAGCCATCCTTCCAGCTGGAGGTGAAGTTGGTGATGTTGACATGGGGGTAGCTACATCCAAGAGAAACATTGAGACCTAAGAAGTAGATCCTTTTGCAGTCACAAGCTAGTGTGTGACCTGAGTGAGGGCCAATACACCAGGAGAGAAATAGATCTGTGCCTGCTTGAGCTGCCTCAACACAAGGGGGCGCAGAGGAGCACACGATGACACCCTCACAAGCTGTGGCCCATGCAACCCACAGGCCCCACAGTGGGCTCGAGGCAACACTGGAAAAGAACCCTGCAGTCCCGGCCTCAAAGAATCAGGTCGGGACAGACTTGCACCAATTACACTGAAGCATCTATAGTTCTCAGTGAGGACGTTAGGTGTCTCTTGGGGACACCAGCCCCTGAGGGGAGTGAGGGGCTAGTGGGGAACAAGGCGATGACCAGTTTCCCAGGCATACACACCCTGCTGTTTTCATCTGGCACCACAACAACAGCGCATCCTTGGCTGAGCGTGTCTCACGGCCCTCCTGAGTTTGGACAACAATGTCCTGAATCTGAGGGGGGCAGAAAAGAGACGTGAAGCAGCTGTGCACCTGACTGTGCCTCCCTGCCTCCCAGGTGACTCCTCCCTCTTCTCCTCTGTGGCCATTCACCTGCAGTGCTGGCACCAGCACCACCCCGAGGCCGTGGGTCCCAGCTGCCTGTCTCCCAGCCTCAGTCAGTGCTACGGCTTGTGTCTAGTTGTACCCACACAGCCTCATGCTTTTTCAGAGGTGGCTCAATCTAGAGTGTGTGATTGCCTCATGGTGGGGCTAGGCCCAAGGGCACCAGGATAAAGGGTGTGAGTGCTACCCACCCTAAGTAGTCTGGATAAAAGGGGCAGAAAGTTGCTGTTAAGGTCTCTTGTTGCCTTTGCTGTCTTCCACCACCATGAACTGTTGCCCCTCAGCCATGTGCCACCCTGTCTTGGAGCCAGCTGATTATGGACTGAAACTCTATAAACTACAAGCCAAATAAACCTTTCCCCCTTTAACTATGGGTGTCGGGTATTTTGTCTCAGCAACAAAAGAAAAGTAACTAAGACAGTCATCCAGCAGAGCACAGGATGATTCCTCATGCCAGAGGACACACCTTTCCTCATACAACTCTAACAGGAAGCTGAGAATGGATGAAAAGATGCCCTGATTCCTCCTCTGAAGTTACAATTCCCCACAAGGTGTAGAACGACATGAATATTAGATGGTATAATTTTTTCATTAGCAGCTTTTCTTGCCTTTATGTTCTTCTCAGTTCTGCTGGGTTTTTGTTGTCACTGTTTGTTTTGTTTTTGCAGTACTGGGGATTGAACCCAGCCTTTACAGTGTACTCCATCCACAGACCTTTTTAAATTATTTATTTATTTATTGGTACTGGGTATCGAACTTGGGACCTTGAGCTTTTGAGGCAGGAGGCAGAAACACTGAGCTAAATCCCAACCCATCCTTTTTAAAATTTTGAGACAGGGTCCTTGCTCGATAAGTCACTAAGTTGCCTAGGCTGGGCGATGTTATAGTTTGTGTACCCTCAGGACTCAAGCAGTTATAGGTGGAGTTTTTCAGAGGTGGCTGAATCTAGAGTGGGTGACTGATTCATGGTGCAATGCTAGGATTAAGGGTGGGTGATTACTAAATCAGTGCACTAATTGGGTTGGCACTGCCCTAATCCTGGTAGCCTGGATATAAGGACAGAAAGAGGCTTGTCTGGTCCCTTGCTTGCTTTGCTACCTTCTGCCCACCAGGAACTGTTTCTCCTCTGTAATGCCTGTCTGTGATGCTACCTTGCCTTGAAGCCAGCCAACGATGGACTGAAACCTCTACAAACTGTGAGCCAAATAAACCTTTCCTCCTTTAACTTTGGGTGTTGGGTATTTTGTCTCAGCAACAAGAAAAGTCAGACGGGCCGGAACTTGCAAACTTCCTGCATCAGCCTCCAGGGGCGCTGAGAATACAGGTGTTTTCCACCACATCTGGCCCCAGTGCTGCTGTTACTGTTTAATCCTCTGCACTCATTGGGAGTGAGAGCAGACATCCAGGACCACTGGGATGGGACCTTTGGTCTGTGGGCTGTAATGCTGTCTTCTTCCTCCTTTCCCTCACCTCCTGGGGCTACGCTCCTCCCATCCCCAAGCCAGCAGGTGTGAGGCCCTGTGTTCCTTTCCTTGTCCTTTCTAAATTTCCTTACCAATTATCTGGGGCTTGAATTTCAGGATGAGAAAAATGTCTGATTAAAAGCAGATTTTCTGCACTATTTTTGAATCAAATCCTTTCAAAAAACAAGAAGTTACACACAGAAGCAGGGCATAAAAAGCAGATCTTCCAGCTGACTGAAACCCAGCTACTACTTAACCTCTCTCTCTTTCCTCAGAAGACTGTGACTTAGAAGCCGCGCCAACCATCAGCACTGGGGGTACAGCACAGAAAGTGGGTCTCCTTCTGACAAGCACTGTCCTCCCACAATGTGCACAAACATGCCCCGTTTGCCATTTTAGAAGGTTCCCAAGTTCTGTCAGCCCTGAGAGGCTGCTGGGACCTACCTGGAAGCGGAGGATGATGGTCCAGATGAGGCCCAGGACCAGGCGGTGGTTGCCATCCACAATGTCGTGGGAACCCATGTTCTCCAGGTGCACGCGCTGCTCCTTGAGGAACTGCAGGGCCTTGTCCACGTTCTCCAGGCAGTGGATGCGCATCTTCCCCTTGGTGGGCCTTGGCTGGGGGACAGCAGTGGCCCCCGTGAGCATGTAGGGACTACAAGGTCAGCCCAGAGGTGGCTACCGCCCAGACCACATCCTGCCCAACGCCCACTTTCCTAGCCAAAGTCCAAGTTCCACAGTCACTCCTGACAATTTCCACCCCTTCCTTCAGCAAAATTCAGAGGTTCCTGCGTCAGCACTCAAAGCAGTGCAACCAAGTTACTCGGGTTCCCTTCTGGGTCTGACACCACCTTCTGAATGGGTGCTAATGACACGCAAACAAGACAACACAACAGGCAGCTAACTGAGCACTTACTACACACCCAGTATAGTTCTCAGAACTACTTACTACTGATGGATGACAAGAATAACTTAGTGACTGGTAATGGACCCATCCCTGCCAATCAATCTCCCTGCTCCCTTGAATGTTCCCTGCTAGAGCCCTGGGAAATCATCATAGATGTTAGTTACCTGTACCATCTGAAACTATTCCAGGGTAACCCATTCACATGGAATTTCAACTCAGGGCAACAAGAGGCAGAATGTCAGCCTGGAGTTGAAAAGGCAAACATGGTACCTTTTCATTCAAACTGGAAGAGCCCAGAATACTTCATCAGGCACAGGCATCCTTGCCCTTATTCTCCACATGGAGGAAATGGAGGCAAAGAATCCTGCTTGAGAGGCCCCAGGTCACAGTGGAAATAACTGAGCAAAAAGGCACCATTACTTACTTCCCCCTCAGAAGCAACCATACTGCCTAGGAAGTACAAGGGAGAGGGCCTCTAACAGAGCTCTGCTTGCACACATGGTAAAACATGCTGAAAATATCTTCCACACTTTTCTCTTGACTCCAAGAGGGACATCAGCTCCCCCTAAAACACATACACCCCAGCCCATGCAAGAGCCTGAGGTCCAGGCTGCTCCCGACACCCAGGAGCCTGTGAGGAGGACAAAGCTCTACGTGGCTTGTAGAGAAGCATGAAGGGGTGGGAATCTCGGTCACAAGGGGTGAGAAGTTCTGAGAAGAGGTCAGAAAACCCAGTAGCCATGTGGAAACCAGACACTGCAAGTATTGGAACCTCCCAGAAACCCTGGCAGGCCAGAGAACTGCAGGTCGGCCCAGCCATGTCTTTCCTGGAAAGGGGCCGATGGCACAAACCCCGGCCTAGGCACAGGGCCAGCACAGGGAGGGGCTTTACCAGCATCTCTCCTGAGAGCACCTCCAGCAGCTTGATGAGCATCCGCCCATCCCGCAGGTCCTTGTAGAGATCGCTGATGCGGCAGGACACTCGAGCCAGGTGGGAGTTAACCCACTTCGTGAAGGTCTTCTTCTGCACGACTTCTCGCTCATCTGAGTGGGGAGAAGAACCTTGGGAGAGCTGCTTGGGGGCCTGTGACACAGGGCTGGGGGCTCTACCTTAACCCTACAGTTCCCCAGGCCTGGCCGAGAAGACTGCTGCTTTCACGCTACCCCGTCCTGCGAGTGTGTGTGGTTCCTGATGAGAGAAGGCCACAGGCCATCACAACGGAGGCAACAGAGACATCTCCCACCATCCCCGTTCACCGTGCACTGTGGGAAGGCACCCCGGAGTCAGCCATCTTTTTCCTGCTGCCAGTTGAAATATTCTTACTATTGTGCCATCAAACTCAGATTTCCATACCAGGTCAGTCCATCCATCCATTCATCCTTCCATCCAATATTCCCCCTGCCTAGAATGCTCTTTCTTGTCCACTCTGCTCCTCCCTGTCCTCTTCACCTAACTCCCATTCATCCTTTAAGATGCGCTGTAGGCAGACCTCTCAGGAGCGCTTGTCCTGACCTCCGTATTGGGTGGGCTCCCCATTCCCCAGTAGGTCCTCCACAGCTAGACAGTGGCTATGCACAAACATATTGAGTCCTTATGTGGCAGGCCTATGCTAGGCCTGATGACAGGTAAAACAAACTGCTCACCCTCCAGATAGGTGGAGGAGAACGAGGAGCAAGGGAAGAGTCAGCATATGTGGGACCACGATTCCACATGGGGTTGAGGAGAATGAAGGTGTGGGCTGGGGGCTCTTCCCTGCATTATGTTACCTTTCTCACCCCTAGAATATCAGGCAGAGGGTCTTGATCTTCATCCCTGGGACAGAGACAAAATATCCCCCTCCTAAACCAGCATCAGCCCAAATTGAGCTCCTGGCCCATGTTGTACAGTTCAGGTGGGTACTTACTCCTGGCACTTCTGTACAAATAAATGCTGGTTCCCCATCCAGGTTAGGGCTGGAAAGAAGACAGAAGACTGAGCTAGCTCAAAGGAAAGGAAAGAACTGCAGAGGGGAGAGAGAAAAAGAGAAAGAGTGACAAAAAGAAGAAAAAGGATAGAAACAAAACCTTGAGACCATAAAGTTAAGTGAAATAAACCAGACACACAAGCTTAAATATCACATGATTTCTCCTATACAAGAGACCCAAAGTATAAATAAATTAAAGAGCAAAATAGCAAGATAGATAACAGAAAATAGGAAGATAGATTTTTTTTTCAAATGAGACGAGGACTAAGAGATGAAGGGAGTGGGAGGGAGAGGAGGGAAAGGGACATGAAAGAACGAAGATGTGCTATGCACACGTCCCAGTTCCCATGATGAATGCGATCATTATACACTGCAAACATGGACTAAAAAAAATTTAAACAGAACCCCAAAGCAAAGAACAGATAAAAATAGTGAAGGCAATGTGAAATCTTCTTCTGTTTGGTTTTGTGAATGGTTTGTGGCCACTGGCTCCTGGGCACTTGGTTTGAAGATTTGGGACAGAGCTGACCTGGCAGTGTGGCTGCAGGACCCGGGGCGTAGGTCACAGGCAGGGCAGACGCAGAGTGGCCCAGGCAGGCAGGAATGTCGGGCCACTGTGGGAACAGGCTAGACGTACACAACTGAGCCCAAACCGTGGAGGGGTTGGCTTTGTGAATTATTAAATATATGATTTAACAGGCACAAAAGGAGGAGCTCAGCCAGTACTGCCCCAAGGGTATAATGCTGGCAGTTCCCGAGACTTGCAGCATCAAATTCCTTCCAACTTCATGGCTATTTTAGTGTTAGGAACTCAGTCTCTTTACTCCCCTGTTCATTCATTCAGCAAATATTTACTGAAGAGCCATCAGGTGCCAGGCCCTGGGTGGAGGCAGGGAATTCACGGACAAGACAGACATCCCCAGACCCTGAGGCAGATAAACCCTACTATAAATATGAAGAGTGTTTGAGCCATGTAAAAGGGTTCTATGGCAGCCACCTAAATAAGAATTCTAAGAGGAAAAATACTACATTATGAACTAAGCACCACCTTACCCTTTTGTTAGCGGCAAATTAAAAGGTGTTCCCAATTTCAGCAGAGCACAACTAAAATTTTGATGACACGTTGGGTGTGATGCAGTAGCACTTATTCTGGGTGTGTGTGGATCCTACAGAGCCAGCAGTGCCCAGGGCCTTTCCTAGAACCACATCTGCTCCTTAAGGTTCACTCTCCTAATCTGATGTGGAATGGCTGCCTAAGGAACTAAAATTTCAGCCCCTTTCTGGGTGAGTATCCCATCCCCCAAGACTAAAGTCCTCTTTTCCTTCCTCATCTTTCTGTCTTTAAGAATCCAGAAATTTCATGACATGGGTACTAAGACCTATTTATTTCTGCCTGGGAAAGGGTAGGGAAGTGGTTCAAGCTGGGGACACGGAATTTAATACCAGGCTGCTGGGCTGGCACACATATTTGTGCAGAAGTCTCATCAAGCATCCTTAGGCCTCCCCAGTTTTCAGCACACAAATGATACCTCCTGGACCCCAAAATGCGGTGGGGGTCGGGAGTGGGGAGGTGAGTAGGGGCAGGGGGTGGTTACTCAGAATCCCCAGCACCTGAAACACTTCTCAGTGTTGAGACAGAGGCAGATTCCAAGAAGCTAATGATGAGCAAAAGGAGAGAAGAGGCCCAGGGGTGAGGATTAATTTCCATTAGCTCTTTTGCTCTGGCTGCTCCACTTCGCATGCTCAGCCCATTCACCCGCACGCCCAGATGCTGCTCAGGAGCCTCCCAAGTGCAGGAGTGGCTGGTGGCTCTGGGACAGCTGAGCTGGGAACTCTGGTAGTGTGGACAGGACAGAAGACAGCTAAGCACTGGGCCTGATGTCCCCAAGGGACCCATGCCACCCTGCAGGGGATCTGCTATGGGGAGGAGGCCGGGACGTTTCCAGAGCCCTTTCTGCCCATGCAGGAGGGGTGGGTGAGCGCAGACTGACTCAGCTCTGCTGCCCTCAGGCACATCCTTCTGCATGCCTCCCTGCCAGCCGGGGCCACCTTGCTTCCCACATAGATTAGAGCTGCCCCTAGAAAACCCATCTTCCTCCCTGATCGGCTCTGGCCCAGCGTTATTGTCTGGATGTCCTGACTGGGTGAATTCTCTCTATACCTCCCTTCCAAAGTTTACCTGACATCAGGTATACCCATGACACCAAAACCATGGCCCATCTGCATTCCACTAGGCCACTATTATTCCAATATTTCCAATTCAAATAGCTTTACAGGCATATTTTAAATGATCACCATATAGATACTCTTTATTTCATACAAGTTAGTCTATAGGAAGAAAAGGTAAGGAAGCTGCCCCACATTATTTATAAGACTATATTAGCCTTTGTAGTTGAACCAGGAAATGAGACTTTCTCAGATAAACGAGTTCATAACATGGAAAGTGCTGCACACAGTGCGTTGTCCCATGAACTAGTGTCCTCCTCACCACCTCTACTACTAGAGGCTGCCCGGCACGTGGCTGGTTCACACTCGCCAAGGCTTCCCCATCCACTGAAGAAACAAGACCCAAACTCAACAACAGCTCGTCTCACAACCACGCAAGGCATAATGTCAATTCATTTTAATAACATCAACACTATCACAAGGTAATACTGGATCAGCCACCAGGCAAATGGCACATATAATAAATGCTGAAGAGGTCACGGAAGAGAGAGGGCATTTCTAATGGGAGTTGTCAAGGGGGTCCCCGTGGAGGAAAGCTCTTAGGCAGTGGGAGGACAGGGATAGAAGAGCCTGAGCAGACAGCTGTGCAGGGTCAAAGCTGGTTCACAGACTACTAAGTGGCCACAGGTTAGAAGGAGATTTGTGGAAAACAAGGTTTCAACAGGATGTGGAAATCCCTGGATGTGAGGCTTAGAAGTATAGATTTAATCCCAGAGGCAAAAAGGAACCCTGAACCCAACATACTAATTTGTAAGGTCCCCAAGGATAACAAAAAGACAAAACGTTTCAGGTTACCTTTCTTTTTGTTTTGTTTTGTTTCACTTTTGTTTTTCGAGAGAGGGTCTCACTATGAAGTTCAGTCTGGCCTTGAACTCACTAGTAGCTAGCCCAGGCTGGCCCTGAACTCACGCTGACCCTCCTGCTCAGCCTCTCAAGTACTGGGATCACAAGTGTGTGCCACCATGCTGGGCTCCGGATTACCTTACAAAAGGAATGAGGAACTCTATACAGAGAAAAACTTAAAAGGTTCCCGAGGTTTGGTTTGGTTTGTTTGTTGAGACAGGGTCTCACTGTGCGGTTCAGGCCGATCTTGAACTCACTATGTAGTCCTGGGCCAACCTTGAACTTGCTACGATCCTCCAGTCTCCATCTCTTAAGTGCTGAGGTTATAGGCATGTGTCACCATGCCTGGCTTTTTACACTATTGAATAAAAAACCTCAATATCATTAAGGTATCAATTTACCCTAGATTAATATATTAATAGATTTAAATATCAACCATTATATTTTATAATATATAATAATCATTATATTACTAGTATTTAAATTATCAAAATTTGGGGGAAAACTAGAGAAATTATTCAAACATTCATTGGAAATAATAAGCAAACAAAACTAACTAGGATGCCCAACGTGGTGGTGCATGCCTATTAATCCCAGTACTCAGGAGGCTGAGGCAGGAGGATCACTGAGTTTGAGACAATGTCTCTCTAAGTTTCTCAGGCTGGCCTTGAACTTGTGATCTTCTTGTCTCAGTTTCCTGAATAGCCAGGATTACAGGTATGAGCTACTGTGCCCAGCCTCAGATTTTTCTTCTGTCAAAGAAAGTATATACTTACAGTAAAAGTGTGCAGTACTAGCATATGAAAGACAGATATAAAATCAAACAGAAATAGCCCCAAGTACATATGAGCATTCACTATCTGATAAAGGTACATTTCAAACATGAAGGGGAAAGTTAGATTATTTAACAAAAGGTATTGGCAAAGCTAGATGATCACCCAGGAAAAGTTAAGTTAAATTCATACCTCATACTCCAGTAAACATTTTATTTGGCTCAAAAACTGAAATGCA